GGCCTTGACTCCAGTCAACCAGACCTAGCCCCTGTCACCTGGACTTGAAGCACAGTCACCTGAGGGCAAGCCTATACTTGACAAATGAGGCTATCACTGCACATGAAATAAATTGTTTTGTGAACTGCCAACTCATTTACACTTATCCTGAATCAATCTTCACTGAGAAGGGAATCATGGTCATCAAGCATGCTGACTCTGAGGGCATAGAAAGGTTGTCACTTGTCACTGTGGATGAGACTGCAAGAACATTTGACTGTCTGGACCTATTGAAGCTCAGTAGATGTGTCCTCAGCAAGGAGATCATAATTGGTGAAGACAAGGCAAGTATATTTCTGAACATCTCAACTTGGCTGTTGTTTGACATTCAATTTCAGCTCATAAAATTCTCTGGCATGGCTGCCAGTGAGGCTGTACCATCATTTTACATAGTTCTACACACCAAATGGTAGACAAGGCCAAAGGCTTGCTACATGACATTCTATCAGTGCTTTTCCAGACTGCAAAAGAAACCTGTGTCTTCCTTGGGGGTGGATGCTCTGAGATGCTGATAAGCTATGCCATCAATGAAGCCTCCCAGATATTTTCTTGCTTGTAAGGCCCAGACAAAGTTCACCCATCTTCCAGCTGTCAGTGGATGATGAATGATTGAGAAACCCAACACAGCTACCAATTTCTACCTCAATTCACAGCACACTGGATCATTGCCAGGTCCCTGTACACAGGTGTATACAATAGCTCTCATCTGATGCCCACAGCAAATGATGGATCATTAGGACAAGCCCCATGGATGACATGCAACATGTCAATTAACAAAAATATTATATTTCTTTCTTGGTAATGGTTCATTTTTGGACTCATGTACATTTATCTTGGGGAAGGGGAACTTGACATGATTGATCAGCATACTACCTCACTAATGCTGATTTGAACAGTGAGCATGATGTTTGGAGACAATGCAAGGCTCACTGTGATCACTGCTCACATTAACTGGAAAAATGCATGGTAAACCAAAGCCAAAGCATAGTAAATCATTCTATAACAATTTCATGACATGGTGAAGGCTAGGACCAATAATATCAACAATATGGTGAGGAATGTGTACAACTTGGAAAGCTAATTCCAACTGTTCCTCCCTTAGTATGGATTTGTTTTTTGTAAAAATTTAAGGATTTCAAACAATCAGCATACTGGAAATAATATGAATATCTTCAAAAGGTTACAAATATAAGAAATCAAGGAACTTACACTCTGAGTGTACTATTGGAAAGACCAAATTGTCAATCACTTCCTACTCCCCCTCTTTGCTGCACATGATAAATGTTAGGGCATTGATGAGTGTGAACAAAATAGTGTCATACACATTTGGTTCTCCTTTGCAATATGAACAAGGATGGGGCATAAATTTTCAATGTTTTTGTCATGCTCCACAAAGGCTGCTTCTATGAGATGGTGAACATTAGCTTTGACATCTGATGTTTGATATTCATTGACAGCCAATGCCAAGTCCTGCTGCAAAGTCCTCCCTGTCCTTGCCTGTAACAAGAAGTATAAATATTCAAACACAAGTAAGGCACCTGAAACAATGAGATACATTTGGGACACTGCCATACAAAGATCTCATTTACCAATGCCATGCTCTACAACATGTTTCATTAAAGATTGTGATTGTGGTGTAGTGGCCAAAGAAGGCATTGCAGGGATTATATCACAAGGATCAATGGAAGGCTATGACATTGCACATCAGCTATTCCATATATGCTGGAGGAAGGAAGAAGGAACTGCAACATACAACCTATGCAATAAGAATGAAAACAAATGTGAGGTGAGGTGAGGTGGTCACAAACCAACTGTCAATCTAATTAGTTTTTACTGCATGACAAATCCAAATGGAAATGATTACATCCTACATGAAACCTATCTGTGGTGGTCAAAATGCAGAGTGGTGGTGATTACTGACATTCTGGTAGATTTAGGTCAGGACAAAAGCATCAAAATGATATCCATAAAAGGGGAATTTACATCCTGAAAGATCAGGCTAAACAAGAGACCAGAACTGGTTGCATTAATTAACCTCACCATCTATGCAATATTCAGAAACTAGTAACTGAATACTGAGAGAAACTGAAACCTACTTCCTATGATTGCAACAGGGTGACATGGGAAAAAGTGAATCTGCACCACTGCAATTTGTCATGGTTACACTCACTGACTGTGAACCAAACAAACTTAATCAGTGTGGGTCCACCATCAACATCCACAGTGCCCCTCACTTCCTATGAACACAAGTCCAACAGAGCAGTAGGTAAGATGGTCAGCATGGATCCACCATTACTGGTCATCAGTCTACATACAAGCTATCAACCCAGATGAAACAGAGTGGCAGTGAAGATGGTCAACATGCATCCACCACTACCTGCCATGACTCCACTCACATCCTATGAACCCAAGTGCAACAAAGTGACAGTGAACATGATCAGCAGGCATCCACCACCACTTGCCACTGACTCCACTCACATCCTATGAACCCAAGTCCAACAGAGTGGCAGTGAAGATGGTCAGCATGCATCCACCATCACCTGCCATGACTCCACTCACTTTCTAGGCATCCAAATCCAACAGAGTGGCAGTGAAAATGGTCAGCATGCATCCACAACCACCTGCCATCACTCCACTCACTTGCTATGAACTCAAGTGCAACAGCATGGCAGGGAAGATGGTCAGCATGCATCTACAACCACCTGCCATGAGTCCACTCACAAACTATGAACCCAAGTCCAACAGAGTAGCAGTGAAGATGGTCATCATGCATCCACCACTGCCTGCCATGACTCCACTCACTAACTATGAACCCAAGTCCAACAGAGTGGCAGTCAAGATGGTCAGCACACATCCACAACCACCAGCCATGACTGTACTCACAGGCTATAAATGCAAGTCCCACAGAGTGGCAGTAAAGATGGTCAGCATGCATGCACCTCCACCTGCCATGACTCCATTCACTTTCTAGTAATCCAAACCCAACAGAGTGGCAGTGAATATGGTTAGCATGCATTCACCACCACCTCCCATGACTCCACTCACAGGCTATGAATCCAAGTCCAATAGAGTGGCAGTGAAGGTGGTCAGCATGCATCCACCACCACCTGCCATGCCTCCACTCACAGGCTATGAACCCAAGTTCAGTAGAGTGGCAGTGAAGATGGTCAGCACACATCTACAACCACCTGCCATGAGTCCACTCACTAACTATGAACCCAAGTCCAACAGAGTGGCAATCAAGACAGTCAGCATGGATCCACCACCTGCCATGAGTCCACTTACATCCTATGAGCTCAAGTTCAGTAGAGTGGCAGTGAAGATGGTCAGCACACATCTAAAACCACCTGCCATGAGTCCACTCACATACTATGAACCCAAGTCCAGCAGAGTGGCAGTCAAGATGGTCAGCATGCATCCACCACCACCTGCCATGACTCTACGCACTCCCTATGAATCCAAGTCCAACAGAGTGGCAGTCAAGATAGTCAACATGCATCCTCCACCACCTGCTATCACTCCACTCACAAACTATGAACTCAAGTCCAACAGAGTGACAGTCAAGATGGTCAGCATGCATCCACCACCTGCCATGTCTCCACTCACAATCTATGAACCCAAGTCCAACAGATTTGCAGTGAAGATGGTCAGCATGCATCCACCACCACATTCCATGGCTCCACTCACTGCCTATAAACCCAATTCCAACAGAGTGGCAGTGAAGATGGTCAACATGGATCCACCTCTACCTGCCATGACTCCACTCACTCCCTATAAACCCAATTCCAACAGAGTGGCAGTGAAGACAGTCAACATGGATCCACCACCACCTGCCATGACTCCACTCACTCCCTTTAAACCCAAGTCCAACAGAGTGGCAGTGAAGATGGTCAACATGCATCCTCCACCACCTGCCATCACTCCACTCACAAACTATGAACTCAAGTCCAACAGAGTGGCAGTCAAGATGGTCAGCATGTATTCACCACCTGTCATGTCTCCACTCACAAACTATGAACCCAAATCCAACAGATTGGCAGTGAAGATGGTCAGCATGCATCCACCACCACATTCCATGGCTCCACTCACACCCTATAAACCCAAGTCCAACAGAGTGGCAGTGAAGATGGTCAGCATGCATCCATCGCCACATGCAATGAATCCACTCACTCCCTATAAACCCAAATCCAACAGAGTGGCAGTGAAGACAGTCAACATGGATCCACCTCTACCTGCCATGACTCCACTCACTCCCTATAAACCCAATTCCAACAGAGTGGCAGTGAGGACAGTCAACATGGATCCACCACCACCTGCCATGACTCCACTCACTCCCTATAAACCCAAGTCCAACAGAGTGGCAGTGAAGATGGTCAACATGCATCCTCCACCACCTGCCATCACTCCACTCACAAACTATGAACTCAAGTCCAACAGAGTGGCAGTCAAGATGGTCAGCATGTATTCACCACCTGTCATGTCTCCACTCACAAACTATGAACCCAAGTCAAACAGAGTGGCAGTGAAGATGGTCAGCATGCATCCACCACCACATTCCATGGCTCCACTCACACCCTATAAACCCAAGTCCAACAGAGTGGCAGTGAAGATGGTCAGCATGCATCCATCACCACATGCAATGAATCCACTCACTCCCTATAAACCCAAATCCAACAGAGTGGCAGTGAAGATGGTCAACATGGATCCACCTCTACCTGCCATGACTCCACTCACTCCCTATAAACCCAATTCCAACAGAGTGGCAGTGAAGACAGTCAACATGGATCCACCACCACCTGCCATGACTCCACTCACTTCCTATAAACCCAAGTCCAACAGAGTGGCAGTGAAGATGGTCAGCATGCATTCACCACCACCTGCCATGACTCCACTCACTCCCTATGATCCCAAGTCCAACAGAGTGGCAGTCAAGATGATCAGCATGCATCCACCACCATCCACCATGACTCCACTCACTTGCTATGAACCCAAGTCCAACAGAGTGGCAATGATGATGGTCAGCATGCATCCACCATCACCTGCCATCAATCCACTCACATACTATCCAATTTAGGCCAGCAGCAGGGCAACAACAACATTGAGCATGAATTCAACCCAACAAGGTACTCCATTTCACACACTTTCTGATCATCAATTAGTATTACATTTATTCAAAACCCTTTTTTTCTTACAAAAGGAAACCATTTTGACAGTTCAAATGCCAGTCCTGCTGGATTCATCCACCCCATCTTCATGTTCACCTTTAATGTTCTGGCTGCTGTCAGTACTTTCTTGATGACAAGCTAGTAAGCTTTACCACTTACTGTAATATAGCAAATTCAATACACAGTCCCAGGTTGGTCTGCTGTGTTGATATCAGGAGCTCTTGCAGCCCTTCCTCAGTCAATGCATTTGTTGTGCATTTTAGTAGGGATGTGCAATCTCCACTTTCTTCATGCATCCCTGCACAGATTTCTCACTTGGTGAGCTGCCCTCAATGTAACATATCTACTTACCACCAAATGACAAGTAGTCCTGAGGTGCAAATTTGCACTTATTCAACCAACCCTTGAGCTTTGCAATATTGTTGTCCAGAATCTTTTTTTCCAGTGCTGCTACACTTGTTGCATCTACAGTCAACCCTTGGTCCTCAAGCTGTTCAATTGCTTCTAGCTCCAAGGCATCTGCCTTTGTTACCAGAACAACCACAGGAACTGTTGAAACAGAAAAATTATATAGCAAAACATGAGTCATGTACAAATGATATACACACCATGCCCTGTATCACACTCCTCAAAGAACTTTGTTTCAGCTGCTGTAACCATCCTGTGGATGTCAGTCAATGGAATACAAAACCTAAATCAATCACCAGGGTCATGTCAGTATGCAAGTTACATTGCTTTTATGGCCTTACCAAATGGCATGTATTCTCTTGTTTAATTTCGGGGTCCTTGCATGATCCATCACAAACTTCTTCATCATGGCAAACTGCTCTTCACTTCCAGCCTCAAACCCACATGAATCATGGAATACAAATCGTGGATTACTCCGAAAGACCAACTCGTCCTCGATGTCATGGTAGCCACGCTGGATACAATCAACAGTGAGTGCATGATTGTCCACACAAGCCTCACCTCCAATGAACCCTGCACCACAGTAGGTTCTACCTGAATACAACCCAGCTTACTGTTTAATCAGATGTATCATGCGTGTTGCGTACCTTCTGTCCTTCTCCATTGAATATTTCTGGTTGATCTGTTGCATTACAGACCCTCTGCAGGATTGTTGTTTTACCTGCATTTGCTCTGCCCATGACAAGAATGCGAAAGCGATGAATGCGATCGATATGCTCCTTAGCTTTTGCAGGGTCCAGGCGATTGAGAGGCTGGACAGGGGGGGACTCTAGTTATTGTCGTTTACACTTGTCCCACTTGTTCACAAGTAAAATACGCACTCGAAGATTCTTCCCCCGTGCTCGCAGGAACAGGAATATCCACATCACCTTCAGAGGGAACGATACAGCTCGGTAGAGAACCTGGTCACGCAACCTCAGCAGATATATCTCACAGTGCATAGGCGTGTGTGCAACCACCTTGAGTATCCTCTGAAGTGGGACTGTTCGTGATGCCGTAGACAGACTGAGAACGTGGGCGAATATCTTCATTGCCTGCAGGAGTATCTAGACAGTAATTTCCGTCAATACAAGAATGTGAACGTATCACGGCTGGGTGGCGTACCAGGTTGATTAACTTCAGCGCGATCCTCTCGTCGATCGCCAAGCTGGGAAGAGGATAACTCTGGTTACTGATGTTAGACTTTTCTCATTATCACCAGCACCACACTCGCCCGTGAGTATTTCTCCGGCATGTCCAGTGAGAGAACGTGAACTCGTAGCTTGACCATCAGTCAGCACAGGAGTAGGAGCGCTTGTACTATTTGGCAAACAATCTGGGCAAACAGCTTCAGCGGACATGTGAAAGGTCATGAAAGAGGATGTGCAGCCACCTTGAGGGGGGGCGGGAGCAGCAACATCCGAATCCGTGCTGCATGGACGACCGGTTTCAATTGGCGCAGGAATGTCGAGAACCGTATTACCTGCAGGAGAATGTCGACAGTAATAACTTCAGCCTACCCAAGAACGCGACCATCGTACAAAGCGTAGGACGTACTTGGTTGGGTATCCACGGTGGAAGCGGGAGCTCGTTCAACCATTGCGTGGTTGCTCCGTGCCCGAGAACGCGGTCGCCATAACGTTGGCCATAATCCGCTACAACACCCAGGAGCCATGAACAATGCAAAGACGAGGTTCTTGAGGTTTTCTGGAAAGTAGTAAGTGTATAGTTGTGGGAGGATGGAAATAGTCGAGTGGTAAGGGCGTGGAGCTGCGGACTCGTGTTGATCGATAAGAAGAGCGCCCGTGGAATGCACACTGCTAATCCGTAAGAGCCATGCGTCACGCTGAGACCGTTGCAACCATAGAGCACGGTACTTATGCAGAGCGACTCTTTCGGAATCCACTCTTCAAGCAAACGACAAGGGTTACTGCGATAATCTGTGGTCTCCCTGGTGCGTTTTAGTAGCCTTGAGACACTTATTTCTTCAACAGGTGAAACAGTCCAGAGACCAGACTTGCTACATGTCCTTGACTACAGTAGCAGAACGGTTTTCACGAACAAGTGTCCTTTCGTGTTGAACCGTTTCGCGGTCCAAAAGACGCCATGCTCGTCCAAACGCTTGTCCTCCGATCGGTCGAGACCATTTTGACAAGGCAGCCTCCCTAGCGACGCGGTGGCCCTGAACACTCCCATCGAGATATGGATCGGTTACCTCTCCAGTGAGTAGTACTTGTTGGACCACGCTGGACGACTACATGGACACAAAGATATCCTACAGCATCCGATCCCATTACCCTCCATCCGCTGGATTTATGGCTTCCTCCTCGAGAACTAGTACGCTCTTATGCGCTAGGAAGTATTGGGCACAAAATCGAGAGGCTCGGTCTCGCCCGCCTGCCGGTAGTCCCGGGTTGTTATCGATCGCATCTCGGATGAGAAGCATTTCACTTTGCAAAGAGTAGACGCCAGGTCTACTCACCTCCGCTCTTCGTGGTGTCAGCCAGCCATCCTCGGATTATTTTCACGGGGCCTGTTAGGAAGCCACGCGACGTATGAATTTCTGGTTTGACTGTTGTGTCGCAAACGAAGCAATGGTGCCCATAGTCGTCGCCCGCGCCCGCTTCCCTCTCAACGATAGGCATCCTCCCATCTTTTTTTACGCTCTTCTGATATAACAATAGGTCGTGCTTAAAAGTAGATGGTCGGATTTTTTTGCGGCTAGATCACTCCAGACCCTCGATCAGTCCACCGATCCGCGCCTCTGAAGGTGTGGGTACCCATACCCAATCTCCGTTGTCCTCGGGCTATCGTCGGTGATTCGAGATACCGCACGTCCAATGGAGAGGTGTACAAGATGATTCTACATGCAGGATACACACCCACATCATGGCCACCTGATTGCGTGTTCAACTCACGCCTAATGTCCAACGCTGAGGGCCTCCAAATACCAAGGCCGGGGGGTCCCAAGCTCCACGGGGAAGTCATTTGGCTCCGGCTTACATCTCTTCAATACTGTCATCCTTTCCACCCTCGCCCATTGACCACACCCACCAGATACGATTAAACATCGGCGTTAAAGACGCCAGACATGTAGGCCATCTTAGTCTAATAGTGGCTAGCAAGCAGACGAATGTCATTCCAGACTATACAGTACAACACACGACCTAGATACAGCATATGTATGTGACAAGAAGCGAAGGTCAATCTAAATGGTATCTCACAACCTATCCTAACAACTTGCTCTGCCTTTCCAAAAACATTACTTTGGGCCTGTCTTCCTCATACGTCAACTCTTTGCTTATCATGACAATTTCCAGATCCATTGGCCCTTCTCGCAGAATACCTCCACCCGAGTCTGAAAGTACATGTTCGTACCACATGTGGAGGTTGTACGACCTTCTCAGTGTCTGCACCATCATGACCTCGACCGAACACCATGCGCGCGTGTGGTAAGCGTCGTCCACGAGGCTGATCAAGGCGTTGCATTGCGCGATGATCATGGGAAGAGCGGCAACGCCGGGTGCAGGATTGTCTTGGTCAACGCATGCATGATCCTATGTACAAAGATGTCACGTCAGCTGCTTACTGAAACCAGATTTGACTCACGACCCATATTCCCAGTCGCTCTTTGTCCACGGACGGATGAAGCAATAGGAAGTTCTCGATGGCATTCACCATTCGGTTGTACTGCATGTTGCTACTGTCATCCGGTGTATCCCGTGCTGTCCCGGGGCCTTTATTGATCCAGCGGTATGAGAAAAAGATGACAACGTCGGCCGTGTCCCTGGGCTGACCGTCATTCTGAATGTTCGATCTGTACAACTGCACCAAAGGGTCGCCCGTTCCTGGTAACTTGTCACTTGATCGCGGTATCTTTCCGAATCCCAGGAAGTCTGAAAAGCGCACAAACTTGAGCGCATCGAACAGACGAGCCTTCTCCGTGTCCGTAGCGAGTGCATCAGCATACACACGTCGCAGGTCTTGTAGAGCGTTCTTGTTGCTACTACTACTGAGCAGTACCGGGCGCAGTTTTTCCTGGAAGAGTACTCGGTAGCCTTTCCGAAGCTTTGCCTCATCCTGTCGACGAGCAACTTCCTTCTTCACATCACCGTCCAATTGCCGACGGAGCCCTTCAAGTACGAGCGTTTCCATAGCCGAGTCACCATTGAACACCGCATAGTCCAGCGCCTTGTAGCCTTGTTCGTCAATAGCATCCATATCTGCACCGACATCCACTAATTCGGTCAAATATGAGCGATGCTCCTCTGACGGTTCTTTACATAAAGCAATCGCAGGCGTGCATCCACTCGGTGGGTTGAACTGCTTCAACGCCTCTTGGCGCTGTCCATCTCGTAATAAAGCAAGGCCATAGAAAAGTCGGCTCATTGCGATGACCGTTGGGTCCGCTGAGTTTCTCGTAAGTTCGATGCCCTCCGATGCTGCCTTGATAGCTTGCTTTCCTTCACCGCGGGCGGTATAGCAGAGTGACAGGCGGCTGAGGCCAACCATCTCCCAGGTTGTAAAAGTGTTAAACAAGCGACGCTGGTTTGGGTCCGACGACCGAGGATGAAGGGCAGCTTTGAGACGTCGAACGCTCGTAACGCGTTCCGTGAGTTGTTCGATGGCCACATCCAACAGAGGACCACCACTCTGTCCAGCAAGCTGATAGTTAACCATGCCCAGATTCCCCACGGCACGACACTGAGCTCGCTCATTCCTTAGCCGCTTCGCGGTGTCATACTGGTCCTCAAACGCGCGCTTGGCGTCTTCAAGGCGGTTCATGTGACGATAGATGACACCAAGCTCGCCGCAGAACTCGACACGCTCGGAGCTCTCGGGTCCCATCTCCTTAAGAGCCTTCTCTAAAATGTCCCTCGCCTGCTCATATCTACCAAACCGCCGATTCGTATTTCCAAGTTGACCGGAGACCTGATGCTTGTATCGCGCCGGATTCGGGAAGCTGGGGACAGACTCGCACAAACTCAATGCTTTATTGAAGGCTCGAAGTGCGTGCTCCCATTCTGCACGCTCGGAGTGTTGCTGCCCTTGCTCCATCAGCGTTTCCCATGAACGCATGGTGTCGACCATGTTTGCAAGTGCTGCAGGCGTCACTCCAGCAGGATCGCGCAACTGCGTGGACGACTCCAGATCCACGGGGCCAAGAACGGGAGCGAATTCCACGAATCCGCGTTGAGAGTCGAAGACGAACAGAGTAGCGTGAAGGGTATCTGGCGCCACTTCCGTACTATGGAAATGACGGGAAGGAACGACGTAGCTCATGTCCCGCGTGTGAACTGAGGGACCATGAGTCTCCGTTATGCGCCCGAACGTTTTAGTATTCAGCACCGTAGATGAGATCTGGTGGGTCTTGTAATTGGTACTGGTATTCTTGTTGTCCGACCACTCCACTTTGTACATAGCGTGGGTAGCATCCGCCCTATTTATAGCTGGCACAAACGTGTACCGGTAATCCCTGCCCTCACCGGCAAGGATCCAGCTTCGCGCGTATGACTGGTGAGAGTGCACTGCAAAGTTGGGATTGCTGCGCTGGCCGTCCGAAAGCCAAACGTGGAACCGATAAAGTTCGTCGATTTTATTATCCTTCAGCAAGCTGCACAGGGATACAGCTAGGAAACCTTGAGAGCTTCGCGCGGCACTGAAACGAGGTCCTGTGGTCATGGGATGAGTGATTGCACCATGGACCAAGCGCCAGACCCATTCCAAGTCAGCTGCTGTGGCGTCCTGCGACCTCCGGCACTTCTCGCGGAGGAATGCAACGCCGATAGCGACCCTGGCAAGCTGTCGCGAGTCCTCGTGCGCAAGATCCATGGCGGCTGCATTGCACCACTCATTAGGCGCGAGGGCTCCCGCCGCATCGTCACTGTCCTGGTCCGATTTCGCCTTACCTCCACAGGACAAGATCCACCGGAAAATGGGTGCCGCCACATCGTCGGGTGTCTTGGTGGCCGCAACGACACCACGGAACACTCTGTGTAACGCTGAACGCGAAATACTACCCCCGCCACTCTTATCTCTATCAGTTTCGATTATGTGGTCAATCTTGTCGGTGGTTTCAACCGAGACAGCACTGATGTGAGCATCTGCATTGTCTGGAGAAGCATATGGGTAGTCATTGTAGTGAGCACAAGAGTCCAAATGTCTGCATTTCCTAGGAGTTGTACCTGGCTGAGTAGCTTCATTGAGAGCAGGAGCCTCTGGAAGAACTGCGTTGTTGCTCGGGGTCTGAGAAGGCGTCCGCGGTAAAGACCCCGTTTCGCTGGAATGCCCCGGGGCTTCCTCAGGAATCATGAATTAATGTGAAGATGTGGTTCTGGACAATAGGAAGTGTATGCTGTGGGGGGAGGTGCGAACAAACGCGTGTTGGTTGATTGAGCGCTCCCATCGATGATAAGACAAACAGCACTTATATCTTTCTGTCACGATGCTCTAATAGTCCCGTGACTGGTTTTCACTCACTTTGGGTCCGGAACGGAGACTAGCGATAGTGCTGCAACAAGCTGCACGCCACAATACAGTTCTCCCAAGAATTCTTCATCCACGATGAGCTTCTCGATGCTATATTCGACGATACTTAGTACTTACGCGAAGCGACTTTTTCCGAAAACGCAGGTCTGGAACGGAGACTAACGATGCTGCAAGCTGTACGCTAGTTCTCCCAAGAGTTCCTCATCCGCGATGAGCTTCTCCATGCTATATTCAACAATACGTATACTTACGCGAGGCGACTCTTTCCGCAAACGGCAGGCGTTGCTATTGTAATTTGTGGCCCCCTCCCACTGCATCTCACCAGCCATGAAGAAATTCGTGCTTGAAAAGTGGAGAGGCTACCGACGGGACTTACTACGTGTCCTAGACTGTAGCAGAGCAGTTTTCACGGGTGAGTTCAACAAGGGACAAAAAGGTTAAACGGGGCTAGTCCCTTGTTTGAACTTCGAAGTGGGATCCTACCGGCAGTAGTCACTGGTCCTGTGGGCCCACTGAACGGCACTTAATTTTATTAAAGGCTCCGACCAAATCTTTTCGAGTCGTTGCGCTCATAACCATATCGGAGCAAGGTTGTGGAACTGGCGAAACCGTAACGTCGGTCCATCAGTCGGTAATGTGAGTATGTACGCACTTCCAACACAATATACTTATATAAAGACATGTCCTCCTTTGCCCTCTCTCGATTCTAGCCCTTTCCAGAAGGCCTTGATCACAGCCATTTGCTCGGGTACAAACCTGGTGCAGGAGTAATGGCAGTCTAAGTGTCCCATGGAATGCGTGTGTGAGGAACAACGAAATCAGACAGACTAAGCGTATTGCCATGTACTGCGTACGGGTTCGAGGAACATAATGTCCTTCAAAGTATTCACTAAAGCGACACATGTGTGGTAAGTTTTTCGTTTTCGTTTTCTTTCCAACCGTGGATGTTCTACACATGTGAAACCATACGCGCATCATGCTAGATGTACTGTTTACTGCTCTTGCCTAGGCATGACCATAATTTGAACGTACGCCCGTCCGTATCCCTGAGCACGCGTGGGACCGAGGCTCTCCTGATGTCTTCACGGGGCTTAGGAGGACTGCGGGATCAGAGTGTGTCATTTTACAGTGCCTTGACGGTGACTGGCATTCCGGTCGTCAAATAGCATGACCCGATGATCGTATCTTCAGTTGGCATTCCTTTTAATAGCTTTGCATTCTCTCCCGACAGGTTCCAGTGACATTTCAGCTCACCTTTCCGTAATGAGTCTACACACTTCTCCCTGCGGAGCTGTCATCACAATGCAACTCGCCTTTTCAAGGATGAAGAGTCGTCGAGACGCCTTGTGACTGCCATCACGTCTTTCAAGCTGCGGTCTGTGGCTAGACATCAGCCTGGTATCAAAGGTCTCGAACGTCCCAGGGCTATTCCGGAGGAACCATACCAATTAAGATCATATTTCTTTTCGAAACGCCGGTGAACCCAACAGGCGTCCGTCGCGTTGGTTCGCATTGTACTTTCCCTCTACTACACTCCATCCGCAACATCAGGCTCCGATTTGGGAAGGGGGCTACCATGAGACGACAAGGCGGAAAGCCATTTCATGTCAGGTCACGAGAATCCTCCTGTAGGGCTTTCCTTCCTTACACAGTTTCTTCCCGCAGAGCCTTTGCCCACAAAACCAATACTTTGCGGCAAGTCCACGTCCTGCTTAGGGAATCAAAGAGGCTGTGTGCTTGTGATAGATTGGATGATGCAAAATGTACTTGCGTATCGATGCTGATAATGGTAGCCGCAAGTGCACATACTCCTTGGGACTTGTGGGCATCTTCCGCGAGCCTTGTTATATTATGCATCAGACACAAGAGCGACGAGTTCGTTTCCCCACCCCTTTGTTTGCAATACACGATGGGGATCCTCATCCCATTCAGAGCATCGACTCATTGCGCCGTTTGGGTCAAGGCAGCCTGTCGAAGTGAAGACCTTCACAACCCAAGGCGGTGGAAACGATGTCCTGCCCCGTTCTAGCACGGTTGGCCATTCCACTTTCGCACATTCCGCGCAAAACTGAGGCTTTCCCCGTTTTGTCATAACATAGCCCCCAGGCCGTCAATAGGTTACCACCTCGAAACGCATTCGGTCCTCGTGAACAACGCCGTCGCACTGTCACGTCTGTTGATGTGTTGAAATGACCATGTAAGTCTTAATAATTTTTGTCCTAGGGATACAACCTTTCGAACCTGTGAAAAGAGGCGTTAAACGCCAAGGTTTCTGGAGATATACGTTGCCAAAGATGTGTTCTGCATCCTGTGGGCTTCATGTAACCACGTGTTAGGAGTGGCGGTGCTACTTGCACTACGTCAGTACCGCGAGTACGGTCCTTGCAACGACGGTAAAATATAAGCACACAGGAGATGTTCCAATCAGCTACACTGCCAACGTCAAGTAATTTGTTTATGCAACTGACTTATAACTCGGATTTCGTATTGAGAAAATACTCCCGACTCGCGGAGCGCTCCGTAGTGGTGGAGAAAACCGCGAATTTGGTGATCCCTGCCTCTGCAACAAGACGTAAGCACGGTGCTGCTACTTCTGCACTACCAAGCACGGACCTACGTCTCTTCTTTTCTTTCGAGATAAGTCGGGAAACCGGTCCCAATGGTGAGTACGAAGTCTACTGGAGTATTCCTGACCTCGATTAAGGTAGGCTTCAGTGGCCATTGGATCTGGACCTGAAGCTGAAGGTGAGAAAGAAGTTAGAGTTTGATCTCATAAAACTACCTCAGCTGCGGAGGGAGTGGCCCAACAGGTGGCGCAGTGTTCACCATACCGTTACCAATGGGATAAGGTTGGCCTTTCACCATTTCTCGCCTGAAGTAGTTTCAAACTTCCTTGCAACTATATCCTGGTATGTGCTATCAGATGAATAGTGCCGCAACGGGTATTCATTACAATCATGTCAATGACGCGAGGGCTGTCATGGTGAATTTGATCCTGCACAAGCTTTACGCCAACCTAGGTATGGTTTTAGCCGTACCAGCCGCCGCACGTTCCTGAGAAAGTGGTCACTATGTGGGGCGGTGACAATTGGCATGCGATCCAAGGGGACTATAAAATCCCCGTTACACTCCTTTGCAGGGGGGAACTACCAGATTACTGCCCGTCATGACTTCGTACATGCTGACTACGGCCCAAATTTCAGCTGTGATCATCGGGCTCGGCTTCGTGTTGATCACTCATGTGGTGTCCCAGAAAGAATCCACCCACCCTCCGAAAGTTCCAAGTCTTTTGCCATGGATTGGTTCTGCTATCCGTTATGTCTTCGCACCGACCAGATTTTTGGCCCTTTGCTGGTAGGTGACTGTCATCATCTAGAAGTATACTTTGTAACGGGCTTCCAGTACGCAGTTTGGCCCCGTGTTCAAGGTTCTGGTCGGAGGGCGTAATATTATAGTCGTTGGGACAGCAGAGTCAATCCGCAGTGCCCTCTTTACCGATCATCGGGTCCTTACAGCCTACGTTGAGCACTACAACCATTTCCACGTAGTTTGCAGTGACACTTCGCTCTACCCCTTGATTCATGACACAATCACCTACAAGCTATTCCCCGTCTTCGACCGACGACTATCTAAACGAGCTGTGGACGACCTCACTGGACACTGCGCGGAAACCATTTTTAGCCGGTTAAAGGCCTTCTCCGAGCACGAGCAGGTGTCGCTGAGGCGGTCTCTCAACGAACCGCTGTATGTCGCCGTAACTGCGATTTTCCTGGGTAGCAAATTCTCTCCAGACACCTATGACGACTGGGTTACCTTCTTGGACAGCGTCCCTAAACGACTTTGTAGGCTTCCGTTCTGGTCTGTGCCGTCCAGCCGCGCGCGAGGGCGCCTGCTTCAGCACGTCATCACGTGTCTTCAGAGTGCAAACCCTGATAACGATGATGATAAGCTAGCGGGCGACTTCTCTAAAGTTCTTCGCGAAAACAATATTTCCCCCGAAGTGGCATCCTTCGTGGTTCTTACAGTGATGCTATTCCTTCATACAAATATGCTTGACGTCGTGTTCTGGCTTTTTTCGTGGTTGATGGCTGATCCTCTTGCCTTCTCTTCTCTGCGCGACGAGATCGACAGGGCCGTCCGAGAAGAGTTTGGGAACATCCAAACGTTTATCGCGGAAGCCAGCCCACAAAGATTAGATTCTCCAGCTTTCGCACTCCTCAACTCCGCAATTCTGGAAACTACAAGGCTTACTACGCTACAGACTGGACTACGTCTCGCGGAATGTGACCTTGAGCTGAAAGATGAAGAGGGCACAATCCCGGTTAGAAAGGGCGAATATGTTTTGCTTTTCCCACGCCCTGCTCAACGGAATGAAGCTTCGTACCCCGATGGCCACAGATTCGTTATTGATCGGTTTGTCCAAGACCAGTATCAGGGTGAGCTAACAGCTGCGGCGGGAAAACCCTATTTTGCCTTCGGAGCAGGGAGACATCTCGTGAGTGCTCCGAGCCATGCATGTCAGGCTGCTAGAGTTAAACGCATTGCATAGTGCAAGGGCAGGTACCTTGCCATGTTCGGAATGAAGGTACTAACTATCCTGTACCTTTCTCTCTTCGACGTTACGCCGGCCCCTCTGGAGCGTCGTTCGTCGAAGTGGGAGCCTCCACAATCCAGTGCGCATAGCATCGGCACTATACGCCCAACTAAGGACGTCTTCGTGAAGTTGCGTCCCCGTGCCACCTTGTAGACGTAGACTGTCGTGCGAGGGCACGGTCTGAACAACTGTGGGGGAACGCCTACGTAATTGGGACTGAACAGCTTTTTGACCGATTTCCGATTCGGATGTATACATCACTTATGCCATACCTCTTTTTCCAGTCTTTGATGGTGACCCAGCGCCAGGAACCTCTATATGTACGATAGCGTCGTGTACCTTTCCAGTTATAGCAGACAAGAATGATCGTGGGCCACGCTGTAGACAATAAGATTGATCGTTTCGAATTCAAGTGAGAGTTCCCCCCTCTGTGCACTGAGCGATCAGTCACAAACCTCGGCCCCTCGGACCGTTCGTAGGACTATCGAGTAATGCACCTTTTTTTGTAACACTCCAAGAAACGCCCACACCTACAGCAAGACTACCCACAAATTAGCTGTAGGCATAGCACATCAGGAAAGTTATATCTAGTCTGCTTTGTCTGATACAGTCTGCTGCAGACAATTCAGACAATCCAGACAATCCAGATGTCTGACACTAGATAACTGAATGGTGTGCCAAGAATTCAAATGAATTAAATTACGTAAAGTTTGTCAGACTAAATCAGATGGATCAGACAAGCAGCATCAGTAAAGTGAGCAACTTCTCACTTATAGTCGCTTGGGGTGACAGCAATCAACGGGGTTTACATAGAGCTTACGACAAATAGATCTCGAGCGCTGATCTTAGTTCTTCACAGTATCTGAGCGCCATTAATGAACGGTATACATTGATTTTCACTTCGTCGACTACAAGGTACAAGTCATCATGTATCGTATAATAAAATTCCTTGCTCGAGAAGGAATCGAGGTAGAAGTCGTCATAGAGTTCCAGCGACATCTCTGATGCGACATTCCGACTGACAGTTTCTCCGTATTTTGGTATGAGCTCGACTGCGTGGATAACGTCCAATAACGGAACAATTGTACCAACCCGGGACTTACTACCATTAGCACTGATGTTGAACATATGACGGACAGTGTACATTCCGATCTCGGGTTGGTCAGATGGTGTTGCCACAAAGGCAAAACACTGGACATAGAGCAGTGGATTAGAAAGGTCGGGGGGGAGGGCATTGTCCCTTGTAGAAAGTGCAAACACCGCGCGTACTTGGACAACAAGTGTGGCTGGGAGATAACGACCATCAACACCAGGAAATGCAGTTTTGAATCCACTTACTTGGTGTGCTAAAGGGGGATGTAACACGAGCCAGTACGGTGTCACATTTTCCATAGGGATGTTCGTTCAAAGGTGGCAAGGCTTGAACCTGTTGGCTTGGTAAGATCGTAAGTGGCCGGAGCCGCAACTGCATCTGGATCCAGAACTTCGACCATCCTCGGAGCAGTCGACTACGGAGCGTGGAGTTCCAACCAGCTATGTTATCGATGTAGGAAAGGAGTAGCGAAGGGAAGTCGGGAAGGCAGTATGTGGTGGATAAGTAAGATGCTGGCTTGTCGGCGAAGTCGGGCTTCCGAGTGACATGGAATGCAGTGGTGGCATCGTCCGAAACGAAACCTTGTAAGAAGTGATTGCGGGGGGTTGCAGACCCAGTAAACGAGTAGATTTCTTCTTGAATGACTGGGGGTGCGCGAGGCATGCTGTCATGCTCTGCAGATAATATGTTGCTGAGTGATGTATCATTGCGGTGGAGAAGAGTGTGGAGGTCAAACCGACGTATGGATTCCTCGCGGTCGAGGCGTAGCACGATCTGTTGTGTGAAGCCAGTCTTCCAGTTGGTATGCAGGAACGGATCCTTGCAATGAGTGATCAACAGGCGTTCGCTCACATCTGCTGTGTACTGGATGAGAGAGCCGATATTCTGTATGCTAGAGCCAAACGACTGAAATAATTCGAGTTTCGGTATCTGGAAATGGGGGATGCCACCAGTTTTTCCTCTCCATGCACCTGCATCTAGTATGGCCTGCTTGTACAGGTGAAACTCTTCTAAGCATGTTTCCATTTCTCGGATGGAGGAAGTCGTGAACGTTGGAGCCTGGGCATGGCAGATGAAATCGACTATCGCGCGAATGGCATGGACGAAATCTGGACCTGCCACGCCTGCTATAGTTGCAACGATCGTGTGCTGAATGTCCCGATGCTCACGTCCGGTCATTTGTTTCACACGCGATACCCCAGTGAAATGGCGAGTGCCAATGTACTTGTGGTGACAGCGATAGCGAGCATCTAGTTCATCATCTCCAAGTACCCACTTGCACCATTTGAGAACATGGTCAAAGAACCACTTGTGACAGGAATGAAGGATTTCGCCAACAAGGAAAATCGCAGGATTTGAAAACCGCCAGTCTCGCCAAAAAGGAAGTTGAACACCACTAAGGTGATGCTTCTTGGCCGCCACTTGGAACTCCTGGATCTTCCAAGGATCTATATGCTCACCTGTCGCTGAGCATATATCATGCAGTGTCTTCAAGGTGAGCTGGCCATCGCGAGATGTATGTTTGATCGCATCACCAAACTGGCTCTGTATAGCGGTGGTGACAGGCGAAGCGGACCTGGCAATACGAGTAATGCGTTAGATGACTTTGTACAGTAGTAGCGAGTGGTGGGATATACTTGGCAACACAGGCGATCATCAACTGCTCTGGCAGATCAGCAGTATATGCGGCAAGAGGCATGAAACAATATCGAGTATTATTGTGAGAATCGGCCATAAAAACGCCGTTGTGCGCAGCAACCTTCAGGTTCGCGCAAACCATGTCGATGCATCGGTGCCATACACGAGCCTCTAGGATGGAATGGAATTCGGGGTGTGCGAGAAATTCGGGGATTGGGGTATACGCTATACACGCCCATGCGTGTGCTGTTGCTTTCACACGGACTTCTGAGTTGATGTTGGCAATCGTGAGGAATAACGGGTGCATCTCACGATCTCCGCTCATTCTTGTGACCGGTGCCTTGTCCGATGCAAGGATGACAGGGACGATAGTGGCACCATCTGGAAGCTCATTCTGTGGCACTTTTAGGAAGGTAGCATGCTCGCATGGACAAATCCTCACCTGAATTCGATGTGCCTCGTCACCCGACATCCACTCGCCGTATTCGCGTTCAGTGCCCTCGTAAATGTAGTATGGATCGTACATCATATTTTCGGCGAAGGCCGGATTCCCGAATATGTCCTGCACGACTTCCAAGGCGTCACGCCAGTAGAGATAAATAGGCTCTTTCGTAGCGTAGCCCTCGGCACAGATTTCTGTGCATTGCCAAGTTGAACCTTTGGGGATCATGTCCAACCACGAAAGAAGCTGCTCGGCGGTTCGAAAGCTGGGCTGGAGATTCTTAACCTGTACAAGTGATGTAAGATTTATTGAATTGAAACCAGGCTGTTTCTTGCCAATTGGAGCTTCAAAAAGTCGTTGATCTGCGTTTGGGAGAGGTTGTGGTAGAGAAACTTCCCAAAATCCCATTCATCCTTGGAGGAAAAGGGGAAGTAAGGGTTGTCTTTTCATTTGGGCTCATACTCGTCTAGCTTCATACGCTCCAGAGTATTCAACTGACCCATATCGTAGATATAGCCAGACTTCGGGTGATATTGACCGACCCGCGGCGCATGAGATTTTGGTGGCACACGGAAGGCGGAAGGCGTGGGGAGTAAGTGCTGACCGCACCTGAGATCATCCTGCAGATGGAGGCAGACTGCCATAGTTGAGGAGAACACTTTCCCGCAAGCGGGACAATTTGTTAGACGCCTAGACAATTCATTAGCATTAGACTGAGACTCGAGGAAACAAAATGGGACACACTCATTGTTCGACAGGGACACATAGCTACCACCCCCACTTTCTCCTGGGCCAGTAGACTCAAGTTCTGTGCTCATTGTAGTTAGATGATTATCAGTTCTGTCGAGCGAAATTGCTAAGTCTTTCAAACTCCGCCACTCTTCACAGGACGATCACTGAGCAGAGGACAGTTATGGAGAGATATGAAGGTAAGTCTACCCAGTCGTTATGATCCAACAGTCTATCATGACAGCCACACTATCAGATATGCCATCTGCAAGGGGTAGCACAAAAAATAAACTAAGAGCCCCCAGTTCTTCGTTCACGGGCAGGTCTGCTCGTCAGCAGTTGTCTCCATATCGCAAGTGCTACCAACATTCATCGCCCCAGGTCCCCTTTATGAGGAGGGCTTTTTCAGGTGTCGTGCACTTCCCTCAAAGCGCAGACGGTGGAGCTGGAAAGGTATTCCTGGTTGTAATCCTCATGAGATTTGACTTAAGCTCTACCAGGTCGAAGAGGCTAGGAGAAAGACAGCCAGAACAGAACTAGAACAGTTTCAATTTCCAAGCGATGTTCTGCGGGTGGCCGTAATGGCTCAATATGCCGACTGCGAAGCAACCCGTTACCGTATAATCGCTGCAACATGGGAGATCGAACGACTTGAGAGGTGGAAGCGCTTCTTCGACCGTTCTTTGAACTATCTCCAAGAGAAGAATACTACTTCAGTGTCTAGATTTGAATTTTTCAAGAAGTGCTGTCTAGATCTTGGTGGGGTTGAGGGTCGCCCAGAGGAGAGGGACATCTTGATGGAAGCATTGTAGAGAGACGCTGCAGCACTGGGCGCCATGCAGAAGGATTTCAAGGACACTGAGGAAGTTGCTATTTCTCTGGGTGTCCTCGACGAGTCGGAGGAGTCTCAGAGCTTCTACTTTGGGGTCACAGATTCCGGTGATACAGAGGATTCTAACCCAAGTGACACTGAGATTCCGTTATATCCAAGAAACCCTGCCACGAGTGACCCAGAGGCCCCCCCCCCACAAGCGATCCACCAGCCCCGCCCACAAGTGACCCAGAGGTTCCGTACACGAGCGATCTCGAGGGGATTCTTTTTCCGACGGAAGACTCTGAATGGTATGTGGTCTTAACCTTGAGCCCTTACGAGCTAATGACGGTAATTACTTCACAGATAAGCCTCATGACTCGTAATGTGTAGTAACTGTATCACCGCATTGTACACCACATCGAACGCTATGTAATATCTTTGCATGCTGTCCGTGCGTCTTTATCACTCTGGCGATGTTCTAAATGAGGAAAGAAGTCTGCCAAATCGCGCATTCTCACTGACCTGCCTAATTTGCATTCATTGTCCCTGTATTCGCTGAGAGAAATCTACGTTTGAACTAACTAGGTTGCATTGTATAACGATGGGGGGGAATCGGGGACGAAAGGTACGCCGGCCATACTCCTTGCCGATCCAGCATGACATATCTGACAATACTGACAGGAGATGAAGAAGCCCGCAAAGGGCAGCGGTCTTAACCCGTGCTTACAGCCTGATGGGTCTCAGCTCGGCATTCCCAATGAATTCACTGAAGACCCTAGCGGAGCCTCTCAGCCCATTATGCTGGCACTTCATGAAGAGCCGCTTGATGAGACATATGCAACCTCATCGTCGACAGCTGCTCGCATGGCATACAACTATACGCTTCCCTCATCGTTGGTGGCCGACGGCACATCATACGACTATCCACTTCCTTCATCATTGATGGCTCACCCGACGTCATACTCAACAGCCTTCGCCCATATGACAGCGCCATGGGCAGTTGAGACGCCAGCCCTGCCAAGCACAACTTTGATGCACGCCTCTCAGAAACCCCGATGTCACATCACCCAGCTGGTGACGCCCTCCCATTCTGTGGGGCACCGGACTTGGCTACGACAATACAGCCGATGTGTCTTCCGACACCATCGATTTTGCAATACCCCCAGGAGTTGTCGTTCGAGGGCTCCCAGCGAATTTTCCAAATTGCATGACCCAGCCCTTACCCTATTGTTTCAAGTGGCATCCGGCATGTCTTTGCATATGGCCCACGACGTCCCTCTGAAACAGAGCGCGGTTCATTTGTCAACATCGGCGTCATCAAAGTAAGTCATTTGTGAGTTAAGTATGATGGTATTGTAGCTAATCTCAAGCCAGGCAGGAGCCAATCACACGATCACGTCCCGGCGCCAAACTCGTCGCACGCTTCCACCAACTTCTACACTACTACCACCACCAACTCCCGAGGCTCCAACGAACGAAACCGACGAAACCCCAATTCAGAATATAACGCAACTCCCACCAGATCAACTAAGCAAGGTAATTCAGGAAGCAAAAAACGGCATGCGCCGCCGACTCATTTGTACAAACATTTTCCCCACCCAAGTCGAAGCAAACTCGTTCGCAGAGGATGCAATCACTGACGCGCTTAGAACTCTAATAACAGGTATGCGTTATTCACATTCATTCCGCAACGCTTCGTGACTGCCATGCCAGATCCCCACTGGGTCCTTGACAGAGCCAAAGATGGCAAAGCGATCTCTCAGGTTCTCCAAATACCTAATAGCATCCGAACACTCTTCAAGAACGTTGCGCGTGCGCAGGTCCTAATCGGCTATGGTATCAATGTGTGCGACGATGACCTCTTGCTTGACCAAACACAAATCCGAGAATCTGTCCGTGGTCGCATCCAACACCTACTTCGAGATTATAACTTCTTATACACGGAGGTATGTACTTTGTTTGCTGAACTACACTCCCTGCTAACAACCAACATAGGATCCTCCCCGATGATTTGGGCATCATGCCCTCACCCATCTATTGATATCCGCCACCTGGACAATGCCGGGAGCACTCTTCAAGTCGTTGGACGTCGACGATGCGGCTACTATCGATGGTCTCGTTGCACTAGCCGGTGCTGCCCTGAGCAGCGCATTGCACGAGTACTGTGAGGGGGTAGTTTGTGTCGTCGAATCCTCAAATCTCCTTGCCGGTGAACGTTACAGGGAAATTATTCAAATCATTCGTGGTATGTCGACTGATGAAGAACTCTGTGCTCAGTGCAAAAAATATTGTCGAAATGTAGTACTGCTAGGCCGTAGTTATCAAGGTAGCTACTAATCAAAAATTTGATGAATTTTTTCACATTTGGGCATGCCATGAACAGTCTGATATTGCACGATAAGATTACAGCTATCTAATCAAGGCTCCAGCCCAAATTGCGAGATCTGAAAGACAGATTCAATATACACATCTCCGCTCAGCGCAAAATCCTGCTAATCTAAATGCGGAAAAGCTAAGTGCTTAGCTTTTACTGATGAGGCTACTCGTAACTTTGCTGATGCGCCAACTTTGAGAGACCCTATTGAATCCTGATACCGCGCAGGTCTGACACTGGCAAGGCAACAGAGAACAGAGTTGATCCCCGTCCACAGCACTTTCAAGTTCTTGGTCATCTGATTCTACACATCTGCAATACCGGTCCTTGATGTAGGAATACCAATCCGCCGTCACACCCAAATAAGGAAATAACAACGCGCAAGGGCGCGGGATACACGTCATAACCGCAAGAGGCGGTAGGTAAAGCAAAATACAAAGGCGGGAGTAGGGGCAGACGCGCCCCAACAGACGAGGTATCAAGTGTACAACGTAGATATAAGGTAGCTACCGCAGGGGGAAGAATCCCCATGAGACGAGAACGTCACCTCGTCGACCCGCATCCCTGCTTGAGTGTATTGAGTCCTAAGCCTGCCGTCCACGCACACACCCTCGCTCGTACCTGGTGGTTCCCGCGTCAGCCTCCGCGCACTCGTCGTTCCTGACACTTGACCTCCCCGGAAGCAATGCTCGCGCTTTGTTCGCCCTAGCCCAAACCTCCCACAAATGGAGGCAGTTATGAGAACCTCGAGTCGACAGAAATGGTTACATAATGACCTGCCGTAAGGGTTGTCAAGTACAAGTACAGTAATTGAGATCGGTGTACATAGGTACGCATAATAGGTACTGCCGTGGTTGTAAACATAGTCCTGTAATCCTCTATATACGTATCGTATCTCGTGTCAAACTGCCTATTTCTTCAGGAGCTGCAGCTGAACGTATTCGTAATAGTCTCCTCTCAATGCAAGAAGTTCATCGTGGGTACCAGCTTCGCTGACACGGCCTTCCTTAATGAAGTAACTGTGCGGGAGCAAGTCAATATTTCCCAATGTAGCACCAGAGAAACAAGGAAGGCGACACGAACATGCAGTCGGCATTCTGGATAGTAGACAGACGGTGGGCAATGGCAATCGTCGTTCGGCCTTTTGCAGCCCGATCGAGAGCCTCTTGCACGATCTTCTCTGAGGTGGAATCAAGAGCAGATGTTGCCTCATCCAACAGAAGAACCTTGGGACTGCGAAGAAGAGCCCGAGCAATTGCAATTCGTTCTGTGGAGACGCAGTTAGTCACGTGTAGCTAATGCGCGGGAGTAGATGATGCCTACGCTTTTGGCCACCTGAAAGCTGTGAACCCTTGCCACCAACTTCAGTGTCAAAGCCGCTAGGGAGCCAGAAATCAGAACGGAAGTGGAAACTTCAAGCCAAACCCTTACTCTGGTAACGACTGGATAAAGTCTAAGATGTTAGCATCTCGACATGCATCCTCGATCTCTTTGTGTGCGACTTCGGAAATCGGCTTGGTTGCACCAAGCAAGATGTTGAAACGGATGGTACCAGCGTAAAGTGTCTGCAAGGAGGAATTAGCCACTGTCACATCATCGTCTCGTTCACACTGACAGGTTCCTGCGAAACTAGTGCGATCTGCTTCCTATATTCCTGGATATTGCACTCATTGACGGGTTGACCGTCAAGAAGGACCTGGCCGACTAAAGGGTCGTAGAAACGCTCGATTAACTGAATGCTGCGATGATGTCAACACTAAGCGGATACAGCATGAAATGCGTGTAAGCTTACACAGTACTCTTCCCGCAACCACTTGCACCAACTAGTGCAACATAGGTACCTGGTGCGACCGTTATGTTCAGGCCACGAAGGACCGGGACGGTAGGTCTCATGGGGTAGCGGAAGTGAACGTCTTCCAGGCGAACCTGGCCCTCGACGATTCTTCCCTCGAACGTCTTTCCTTCAGGAGCTTCGGCGTCGATCTCAGGTGTAGAGTCCAGTAACTTGATAATAGATGCACCTGCACCACGAGCCGACGAGACGTCAGGAACGAATGAAAAGACATTCCCAGCTTGCATGCCTCCGAAGGTAACAGCCTGTCGTACTCTGTATTCAGATAGATCCCACCGACCATGCACGAAATAAATACCATAAGAGCAGTGAAGAAGTTGGTAATCGGTATTTCCAAACTGGACACAAGCCTGGATCCATACCAAAAGACGAGGGCGATCGCCCAGAAAGAACTGGACTGAGAGAACGCGTAGACCAGGTTGCTCCAGATTGCACTCCTGTTTGAGTTTCTGAGAGGCTCCTCCAGACTGCTCGAGTACAACCTCAAACAATCATTTTCCCGAGTAAGTGACGCAACAGTACGAATGGCACCTGCTGCCTCGCATGCTAATCTGGCAGACTCATCGTGCGCAGCCTTGTTTTCCTCATCTTTGAGAGCAACCACGCGCTACAAAAAATCAGATCTCATGCCGATCGTGTTTCGTATTGACTCACAAGTCGGACGAAACCCGCAGAAAAGAGAAGAGGAACGCAAGCTAAGAGGAACAAGTCAGGGGTAACACGTGACGAAAAGCGGTATAATTAACCCACCCATTCCGACAAGAGCTGGCTTCCATGCGTAGGCCAAACCAATGATTGAACCACCAATCAATGTCGTGATGGCTTGGATGATACTGTCCATGGCTATCAGCATGAGTCCAAGCGGCTTATTAAGGGCTCGATACGAACGCTCCAAGGGTAACTCCAGCCAAACCTTCGATCTTTTGTGGGCTATCATTCACTCGAGATGTGAGCACGCCGGTCTAAAGCACCATTAGCAAATATCCCTGCAGTAAAAAGTGGTCGCGGTATTCACATTGTTTTCAACTCTGTCGAAGAATTGAACTGATGAACTGTCAGTGGACAATTTTCACAGATGATGAGAATAATTTACTATCTTGGCGGAGAATCGCACGGAAGCTGAGCATTCGAAGTTTCGTCGTCAAGTCGGAGGCAGCTAGAGTAAAGACATAGTTTTGAATGGCAATAGCTATGGATGAGACGATGGCCACGATAAAGAACCTGTTCGCATTAGTATTCAATAAGGTTGATGTACAGATCAGCATCAGAATACTTACCACAGGGCGTTCATGTCGCCGGCGTGACGTCTCGCAGAAGGGTCAGTTTGGGAAAATCCGTTGACCGCCTTGCCTGCAATAGGTTGTTACAAGCGTTTTGACGGCAAGACAGATACCGAACTCACCGTAAATGATGGCAAACACTGGGTATACCATACCAGCCGCTTAAACATGTTCAGCATCCACAATTGCTTGTTGTCTGGAGCACGGAGGACTTACTCATTGCTGCTAGTGCACCGATGACATACAAACGATACCCCTCCGGGTTGAGACCTCCAATGCGTCTGAAAAGATACAATAGGCCATACGAGTTCTCGTCGACTTCGGCTTTTCCTCTCTCTTCGATCCTCGTGAGGTCTGACGTCACTGAACTGCGAGTCTCGGAGCGCCCGAGCGGAACCTCGATGACTTTTTCGTTGTCCGCCGTGCTACTAATCACAGTAATTTCCGTGTCGGCTTGCGCTTCTCTGGTTTCCCGAAGTTTCTGAGCTTGGACGAGGCGTGCGTAAGCTCCGTTCCTGGCGATGAGTTCCTCGTGAGTTCCTTGTTCCAAGACGGCACCTTCGGCCATGACGAAGATCTGGTCGGCACCCTTGATCGTGGAAAGTCTGTGGGCAATTGCAATGGTCGTTCGGCCAGCGGACGCTTTGTCAAGAGCATCCTGCACGACACCCTCCGACCGCGTATCGAGAGCGCTGGTTGCCTCGTCAAGCAGAAGAATTCGTGGGTCGGAAACGATTGCACGCGCAATCGCCACACGTTGCTTTTGGCCACCAGAAAGAAGGAAACCACGCTCGCCCACGGTAGTATCGTAGCCTTGGGGCAATTTGCTGATAAACCCATCAGCATTCGACTTGACGCAGGCCTCCTTGATCAGTTTGAACTTTTCGTCCTCCGAGGCGTGCTCATAGGGAGTTCCGATGAGGCCGTAACCTACATTAGCACTGATTGTGGTGGCGAAGAGCACGGGTTCTTGAGAAACCAAGCCGATCTGAGAGCGAAGCCACTTTATGTTCAGATCGCGAAGATCCACCCCGTCGAGCTTGACAGAACCGTTAAGAGGGTCGTAGAAACGCTCGACAAGCGAGATGATGGTCGACTTTCCGCAGCCAGAAGCTCCAACGAGAGCGGCTGTTTTTCCCGCCTCGAAAGTTATGTCGACACCTTTGAGAATCGGAACGTCGGGACGAGCGGGATAACTGAATCGCACGTCCTCCAGGGTTATCTCACCGACGACTTTCTCGGGCTTGAGTCCATCGGTGCTGGCAGAATCGATGTCGGGCACACGTTCAATGGTAGCATATAACTTTGCGGCTGCCCCAAGGGCGGTAGTTACAGCTGGGGATGCATCAGAAAACACGGCTGGGGAACATGTCCCATGCACTCACCTCGTGCTTCCGGTGCCATCATGGCCAGAGATAACGAACCAATGAGGATAGCCATGAAGGCGACGAAAACTTCCGAAACGGTCGCTGAGGGTGGAGCATGAGTCCGTTTGATCAGCTACGGGAATGTGGCGGAGCTTTACCGTGACCTTCATTGATCAGAGTTGTACCGAAGTCGAAAGCTACAATTTTTTGGGGTCAGAAATCGCAGGGTAGCGTATAAAGACGCGTACCAAGTGCATAGACAGCATAAATGATGAAGAAAAAGACTCCGAGACCACATCCGGTCCAAATGGCAGACTTCGCGTTCACGGTCCGAATCGAATCTATCTTCTTGTTGAAGAGGGATCCCAGCACTTTTTGCGAACCAAAAGCTTGCGCCGTTCGGATGGTAGAAATAACTTCTTCGGCGATGGTACCACTCTCAGCAACATACTGAAGTGTCTGCCTTTGTCCCGATTATTTAGAACAGGACAACAAGCGAGTTGGACGCAGAAAATGACTTACTGTGCATATTTGGCAATGAATATGTTCATGAAAGCGCCAGTTACCCCCATGCACGGGAGGATAGACGACATGGCAAGAGCCAGACGCCAAGTCTGGGTATACGCAAGAATATAACCGACGAAGAAAGCACTGAGAAAGCTGACCACGATTGCGACCTTCTCCGACATCCCTTGTTGAACTAGGTCTGTTTCTGAATGAGCACCCGCAGAGGGACGCGGAGTCGCTTAGGACCTACGGGTATCCGTTTGGATGCGAGTGGCCACCTCCCCAGCTCCGATGTGATCAAAATAAGCAATGTCTTGCCGGAGGACGGCTTGAAGGTATTTCTCACGAATGCGCTTCGCATTGACCTCGCCGGTGTATATCCATAGATACATGTAAACCCATGTACATACAGCCATGGCAACACCTTGAATTAACATTAGGTGTCATTCGGAATATAACCCATGACTGACATACCGATGTAGGCCAAGTAGGAAGCATCCAGAGCAGCTCCCTTGCGGAACTCGCTCGCCGCGGAATCGAAATTCTGTTGCGCAGAGGACATTGCAGTGGCGTTTCCGGATAACCCTGCCGACTGATAAATTTCCATTGCAGTGGCGAAGGCAACGAAGTCTTGAATCAACCTTCCAAAAACTAAAGTCATAAGGGGCTGACGCCATGCATCAGTGAATGGGTGGGAGTCAAGCGCTGATGGCGTACTTGTGCGGCGCCTGCAACTATAGCGCCGACGATGCCAATGGCATTCAGGGAGAGTTCGAACGGAGTAGCATACCTAGCACACGGATGAGAGGAGTAACAGACATGCAGTATGGTACGCACCGAAATAGCTGCGTAAAGCCGACGGATGGTGGAGATTGTTCCACTGGTTTAGCATCAATATCCGTGGTATCGATCTTTTCATGTTCGCCCTTGTCTTTCTTCCCTTGGAAGAAGCTCTGGAACTTGGGAGGAGAATCATTGATAGTATTAGTGTCTTCGAAGGAGGGTTTCTCTGAGAGGACCTTGTCTGCCATGATGGGTCAGACGAAGAAAGGCGGCAAAACCTACGAACAGGTCTACACTAGTGGGCTCCTCTGGATGGCTGTGGGGGGGTGGGACAGATCCATTATAAAAGGGATATCAACTGGTTATAAGGGCATACTTGATTTAATATAACCAACACTATGACCGTCCAGGGGTATGGCACAAGTCTCAGCGACTAGGATTCCGGTGGAACGCGCACGTGCCTTCCACTTGATTCAAGCCCACTCGTCTATTACTTACACGACCTGCCCACCTGCCAAGACTCGTTTTGGATATTTACTGCCTACAAACGGTCGTGTTTAGCTCATGCCAAAAGGATGATCCAATGAGACTACGCACTCCGTCAAAGCACCCCTCGGAATCAGGCACCGGAATCCCGTCGGCGAGTCTCTAACTGTTCCCGTCGGACCAGTCTGCACTGGAACGAGGAGTACCAATGGAGTACCAATGGGTGTCGTCGCATCAAAATCGGATCCATACGCCACTCTATTCCGAGTCTTTGACCTGGTTCGTACAGCTTTTATTATGTAATATCTAGACTTCACTCCTACTTCCACTTCAGGTGCCTGTGATTACCACTGCGCTGGAAATAATGCACTTGTGCACACGTCCTCGACTCTTACACGACGACCTCTGCGATCATCAGTGCCCGCCGCAAACTTTCCCGTCTTTTGTCCTCTGTCGGTTCACATTTTTCTGCTTTATTATTCGTCGAGAATCGATGCGTGGCACGCCTAGCTACAGGCATCAAAATACTGCAATCGCATGTGATTGCGTAGTTTGCAATGTTCAGCTTGCTTCGATCATGAGTGACTCTGGTAGAGCAAAAGGCGGTTATGCTGAACCTGAATTACTCGTGATCAATATTGAAGCGTTACCTCACTACAAAAAGGTCGTTGAATCCAACGGGCATTCGTCACACTTGTACGCATTTGTACTTCTCGTCTTTGAACTTTCAACTACACTCCGTCCAGAAAGCAGGCTCGAATTTGGAGGGGGGGGGGGGGGAAAAACACGCCGCCGAAATTTCGTTGAGAGAACGATAAGGCGGAAATCTACTTCATGTGAGGTTACGAGAATCTCCTCGCAGAGTTGTATTTCCATACATAATATCCTCCCGCGGCCTTCGCCAAGAACACCAATATTTCGCACATGATCCACGCCCTATCTAGCGAACCGAAGAGGCCTATGCATCAGACACAAGAGGGACGAAATCATTTCTCCTGGGGTCCTTCGCTATGTACTGAATCCAGCAGAGCACTGAAACGTTACGCCGCTCGGGTCAGGGGCAGACTTCTTGAAGCGAGGAACCTCCCAACCCAAGGCGATGCCGTGCCTCCGCGAAATTAAGTCCTTCCCTGTTTGTCACAGCATAGCCCTTGGGCTGTGATGGGTTACCATCCCAAAACACCTTTGGTTTTCGTTCAAAACGTTTTGTGAGCTCTCAAGTCTGTTAACGTAACGAAATGACTGTAAATCTTGATAACCTTCCTCAGTGGGATACAGCCTCTGGAAGCTATGAAAGGAAGCATTAAATGCTAAGAGATATACTGTACATTGGTGAAGATGCACCCTCCATCCTATGGGCTTCATGCAACCACATGTTAAGCGTGACGGTGCTGCTTGTCTATCAGTACTGCGAGTACGGTCCTTGAAATGACGGTAAAATATAAATGCACCAGAGGTGTTCCAATCAGGTACACCGCCAGCGTCAGGTCACTTATTTATGTGACTGACTGGTAGTCCACACTTCCCGCAGAGAAAACATTCCCAACGCGTGGAGCATACCACAGCAGTTGGAGAAAACCGCAGATTTAGTATTCTTTGCCTCTGCAGCAAGACGCAAGCGTGCTGTCACCACTTCTGCACTACTATGCGAGGAACCACGGCTTCTCTTTTCTCCCTAGACAAATTGGGAAATCAGTCCCAACTCCGCGTACGAAAGTCTACCGGAGTATTCCTGACCTTATCGGCGTGGGAAGTAGCCCGATATGAAACATTTTCTCGATTAGTGGTTTGTCTTCCACCACTTCAAGTAGTTTCAAAGTGCCTTATGACGATTTCTTGGTTTGGGTTATCAGATTGATAGTGCCGCGACGGGGATTCATTACGATCATGTCCATGACCCGAGGGCACGAATCACGTCATTGATCCTACATGAGCTTTGCGCCAGCCTAGGTATGGATTTGCCCGTATCGGCCACTGCGTGTTCCTGAGAAAGTGACTACTATGCAGAGCGGAGACGATTGGCACGCAATCCAAGGGAACCAAAAATCCCCGTTGCACTCGTTTACTTGCAGGAGGTACCAGATTGCGCCCAGCGGGACTTCGTACATGCTGACTACCTCGCATCCCCGTGCTACCTTAGAGACCTCTGACAAGGCGTAGTATGGCAGCTGTCTACATACTTAGGGACTGAACACCTTTCCAATTTCAAATCTGGACGTGTACTAATCACTAATGCCACACTCAGTCTTGGAGACCCCTGGCCGCCGGGGAACCACCTTGCATGGAAGGATCACGTACCTTAAAGCAGACGAGCATCATTTCCCTCCGTGCATTGACTGATAAATGCACAGAATCGGCCCGATGTAGAAGGGCCGCTGTTTAGATTTTTAATAAGTGGTGAAAATACATTGACATGTGTTCACTTTTTTCTAATCAGACTGTTTTCTCCCGCATGCGTATCCTGACATATTTCGTGCCTGTTCTCTGTCATATGGAAAGGCCCATGCAGCGCGCAGTATGGGGACGCTTTTCATTCTTATCTCGAATAATAAGGAAACGAGTAGCCTTATGTAAGTGAGAATAGCAACTGAGCTTCGCATCGCCACTATTACATACAACAAACTTCCCTCAATCCGCTCGCATCGAGACTATCGAGTCATGCGCCTTTTTTGCAACACTCCAGTAAGCTACAATATAGCTACCTTCCACGACTGGTGACTAACCCTTGCTGGAGCACAGAAGATAGCCTGTGGATATCAAGTTCTCGGTTGCACAGCCCAATCTGCACATCTGAAATATATCATGCTGATGCCCAGCGGTCCTTGACCTCCGCAGAAGCAACCCTCGTGTTTCGGTGTCCTTAGTCAAGATGCCCCTGAAATGGAAGCAGTTCGACCCCTCAAGCCCTCAAGCCAACAGGAACGGTTATCTCCTGGACGAGTTCTCGAAGCAAGAGAACCCCAACTTGACAAGTCGTGGTCAACTGCAGTGATAAATTCCCGTCGCGAACATGAGTTCCTACTTTCCTGTCATCAACTACAGGTGCCTGCGATTACCGCTGAGCTGGAAATAATGTACTTGTGCACACGTCCTCGACTCCTTCCATACGACGACCTCTATGATTGGCGGTGCCCGCCCCAGACCTTCCCATTTGCTTTACCTTGTCATGTCAAGTTTTTCTGCTTTCTTATCCATCAGGGGCAAGACTTAAGACAATCGGTGAGTAGCATATCGAGCTGGAAGCATCAAACGCCGTAATTGCGCGTAGTTGCAAGGTTTGCAATATATTTAGCCCGAGTCACTCGTGATCGACTATTGAAACTTTATTTCAATTCGAAAATACCGTCGAATCTAACAGGCATCCATTGCGCCGGTACGCATTGTACCTTTCATCTTTGCACCCTCTACCACCTTCCGTCCAGAGTGGCAGGCTCAGTCTTTTTTGGGGTAAAGACGCTACCAGATTTTCGTTAAGACGTCCGAAGTCGATAAGGAGGAAAGCCAGACCAGAACCCTCGTACGATGGTTTTATGTGAGACCACGAGAACCCTATCTTTCCATAATTTCCTCCCGCAGAGTTTAACCAAAAGATCAATATTTCGCGCTGCCCACTGCCCAGCGGATCGAAGAGGCTGGGACTGTGATAGATCGGTTGATGCAAAGTGCATCCGGGTATTGACACCAACAATGATGGCCCCAAATGCGCATACTCGTTGGGACAACCTTTGGTGGGCCTTGTGATATCACATCAAACACACGAGCGACCAACGTACGACAGGGTCCTTCGCTACGTACGTGTTCGGGGCGTTGATTGATTGCGTAGTTTGGGCCAGGACTGACTGTTGAGACCTTCATAACCCAGAGCGGTGAAAATGATATCGTGTTTCAAAACCAAGGCCTTCCCCGTTTTGTCACAACATAGCCCGTAGGTTGCGGTGGGTTACCATCTCGAAACATACATGGTCTTCGTTCAAAACTCTCCGTCGAACTCTTGGGTTGGCCATTGTGATGATATGAGCAGGTAAATCTTACTAACCTTCGTCAGAGAAATACAGCGAATGCCAACATTCTTGGGGGTACATTGTCAGACTTATCTAAATCAGATGGGCGACCGGCGGCGACTCAGGCTATAACGTGGCGCGCAAAGTTTCCTGGTTTCCTGGTCCGCAGCCTGATCGCTTTATGATGATACATGTGAACTATTATCACATGGAAAAAATGACCCTCAGCCCGGCCCGTGTTATTCTTAACTTTTCGTGTCGCCCTGCACTGATCTACTGGTTCCTTATCTCTGCAATGCCTCTTGCGCTTCTACAAAGAAAACTGTGATATTTAGGGATGCTGTGTGTGATCCAGCTGGCTACAAATCTCCTGCTATTCTCAGGTGGACGATATCAGATTCTTTCCCAGCATGACTTTGTCTGTATGGTCAATTGCACAGATCTCAGCGATGGTCGTCGGCCTCGCGATTATGATCACCTCTCGTATAAGGTCCACAAGGGCCCCTACCTACCCCCCGAAGGTCAGGAGCCTTTTGCCGTGGGTTGGCTCTGCCCTTAGTTTTGTCTTTGGACAGAGCAACTTCTTGGCCCTCTGCCAGTAAGTGCATGTGGTCGTATCAAGTTACTATACATAACTGGTGTCCGCAGAGTGCAATATGGACCTGTGTTTCAGCTTCTGGCCGGGGGTCGTAATATCATTGTTGTCACGTCGCCGGACTCCCTCACTAGCGTCACCTTTGCTGATCACCGCGCCCTTTCACCCTGTGCCCAGCATCATTCTCATATCAGCGCCCTCTGTAGTGATTCTTCGCTCCATCCGCAAATCTACGATACTATCGCTCATAAAATATTCCCCGTCCTTGACCGACGTCTGTCAAAGAGAGGGCTGGAAGATATCACACCCCCATTTGCTCGGCTCGTCTTTGACAAGCTCAAACTCCTTCCTGGAAGATTCCACGTCTCTCTCAGGCGGTCCCTTATAGAGCCTCTGTTTGCCGGTGCTAACGGTGTGCTCTTTGGGAGCAGATTCCCTCAAGATACGTACGAAGATTTCTTCACTTTACTCGACAGTCTTCCAAAACGCCTTTGCAAACGTCCGTTCTGGTCCTTGCCGTCTAGCCGTGCACGTGACAGGTTGCTCCGGCGCATCTCTGACTATCTCGAGGGAGCAAACGCTGCCGTTGATGACCATGTGGCGGCTAGCTTCACTGCACTTTTTAGGGAACACAACATCCCTATCAAGGTGGCAGCTCGATCAGTTTTGATGATCATGTCATCACTTCATCAAAACACGGTTAACATCGTATTCTGGCTTTTCGCCTGGCTGCTAGCAGACTCCTCTGCCTTTTCCGCTGTGCGGGATGAAATTGACAGAGCTGTTGGGGAGGAATTTGGGAGTTTCCAGACTTTCATTGCAGAGGCCAGCCTAGAAAATTTGGATTCTCCAGCTTTCGCACTCCTCAACTCTGCGATTCTCGAGACTATGAGGCTTGCAACTGTGCAGAGCGGAATGCGTGAAGCTACTTGCGACCTCGTTATAAAGGACGGGGACAGGACTATTCCAATACGGAAGGGCGACTATGTGTTACTTGATCCACGGGGAACTCACCTGGATAAGAACTTGTATCCAGAGGGTGACAAGTTTGTTGCGGGCCGGTTTGCCGAGAGTGAGTATCGGGGCGACTTGGCGGCGACGACGGGATATCCCTTTTTCGCTTTGGGAGGCGGGAAGCATACTGTGAGTTTTAAAATCTGCGTCGACTCGCCAGTAACAAACCTGTCTTCCACAGTGCAAGGGCAGGTTTCTTGCTATATATGAAATCAAGGTCTTGGCAATCATATACCTTTCTCTTTTCGACATCACATCCGTCAGTCGAGGTGAAGGTTTACCGCCGGTATGGGAACCCCCCGAACCCAGTGGGCAGAGTGCTGGTACTGTACACCCCAAAGAAGATGTATTCGTGAGGTTGTACCCTAGGTTCGTCTTGTAGTAGTCAGCCTGTGTTGGATAAGCTCCTGGACGAGAGCGTGGTTCTGTTCAAAAATTTGTTGTATTCTTGGGGTTTTTGGACATTCAATGTATATTAACTGTACGAGAAGTAGAGAGTGCCATCATCCGTTGAGTCTTTGCAAGAAGAGCGACAGGGATTGCTCCACAAAAGTAATCCTAGCAGGCTCAGAGCGCTGAGTCTCCATGGCAAGGCTCTTTAGGCAAAGGCGCATCACTACCATGTGTGGTGTTTGAATGGGGTCTTTCCCCTGCACTGATTCCCCCTGTTTGATGTCTTAGCTAACTCTACGGCATATCGTCTGTAACAGGTACATACCGCATGTTCCTTTGCGGAAATTGTACTGCGCTACTAACGTCTAATCCTGTAATCTTGAGATAATGTATTGTGACTTTCATTGCAACGCATCATGATGGTATCAAAATGCATACTGATTGCTATTCCCCTTGGAGCACTGCCCTAGCTGCCGGTGCTGTAGCAGGCACAAGTAGTTGCACCTCACCCAATGTCGAGTCAACGATTATGCGTTGCCGGTGACCCATAATGAGGAAGAGGTTTGCTCTAAGGAGACTAACAAACAGTGTCGATTTATGTAAACGCCCTTAGGACAAGTCTTCTGTGATACTGGAAACTTTCAGCGGCCTACACCTGGAATACACACATACATATATCCCCGAGTCCGAGTTTTTCTAGCCGAACTCACGAAGGACGTATGTCAATCAACGGATAGCAATTCAAAGACGACGTCGGTATCTATGCAAACAAGCCTAGCTGAATATCAAAACGTTACAGTATAAATACCAACACCCGTTGGCGTGGATGTCAGCCCCGTATCATTGAATGGCTGCCCGACTGAGAAGCGTGCCTGAACCTGCGCAGCCGCATTCGTGACTTTACCCAATCCAAGGCTACCCCAGGGCACGAAAGTCTCCGTGCCATTCACGTTGGCGGCGATTAGCAGGTAGCTGGTGCCGTCGTACCACACACCCGCGTCGACACTCCCATAACTATGGAGGGAGTAGGCGACCTGAGGACGAACCAGGTACGGTTGGACATATTCTGTTATGATGTTGGTGAGGATCATCGCGGTGCCCTCAATCGTAGTAGAGTTGCCGGTAGTCGTAGGGTACTGGTAGGACATGGATCCTAACGCAAGAACATTCAGCCTTCTTCATCCATCAGCGGGAAAAAAAGTGGGACGCACCTGTCGCTCCATGATTGAAAGAAATGAGCCCAATCGCGGCCCATTGCGCACCAGTTGGGATAGTGGTCCAGTAACTGTGCGGAGGGACTAAGGGAAAAGGCCACATAGATGGAAGTCTTCACTCACGCTCCATTTCCCACAGCCTGAGGGGTCGTCCACACGGTCTTCGTGCGGTCATAGCCCAGGATATCGAGCCTGTCCTTGTAGGTCTGGATGCGAGCTTTGATATCAATCAAGCCACCCTTGCAATCGTCACATCCACAGTGACCGAAGTCTGGTGTACAGGGGGTGTGCCAGACCAGCGAGTACGTTGCGTTGATGCCGATTGGGTACGCATCCTGAGGAACAGTGAATGAGCAAATTATCACCCAGGTAAAGAAACATGTAGCCCACCTCAAGTACAATATCGGCACCTTCCACGTAAGGTGTGAAGTCGTAGTCCTACTCTCAGCGTGAGAAAGCCAATTCCAACCCAGAACATCTGCCGAGATACCTCGCAATTCAACACGATGCCGATGGGGTGGTAGCCATCCAGCTGGTAAATCAGGTCATACGCTTGCTTTGCGGCACTCAAAGGATCCGAATTGCCATCAGGCTCGTGGGCAGTTTCCCAGGTGAGGAGGTTGGGTAGAGACTTGTACGTATTTACCAGTTCGGCAACCGCCGTCAGGTTCTGGTAATAGCTGCAAGTGAAATTAGTCATCGAGCTCAATACTAGGCAATGAAATGGGGGAACTTACGAACGCATGTCAAAGATGACGTAGAGTCCGAGTTCAACAGTCCTGTTGAGAACTTGTTCAAAGACAGTGGCATTATCGTAAGGAGGGACTGGGTGAATCTGCGAATGGGAAAAAATGAGAAAGTCGGTAGCAACGTTGACAGCTCCACGACCGTACAGTGTTGAAACTAGGCAAGTTAGAAACTCATACTTGTTACCCAAGATACAAACTCACCCATCATCTTTAAGTTGGTCAATGTATGATAGGTTCTTGAGGAGGTATGGGTCGAACGACACATAGAATCCCTGGGGAACGAACGGCTGGAATGGACTTCCCGGACTGTTTACAGGTCGCACCCATAACGAGCCAGTCCTCAGGTCAGTCTTCGTAACGGAATTGTTCGAGTTGGGAAGGTACAGTAGCGTGGTGTTAGCGGAGTAGACTTGTGGCTTCGACGCCGACGCGAGGTATAGCGCCGAACAACTGACGTTGTAAGAGGTCTGCTGAGCGCTCAGCTTACTGATGTCTAAAGGAACCTCGTATCCGGTGGCGTTCAGGGGCACTTCGTGGGTAGTGCGGAGGCCGCCCACTTCGATCACAACGGTCACATTACCAGCATCGCAGTCGGAGGATGGGGTGTTCGCGCTGCCGGGCAAGGTAATTGGAGACGCTCCACTGATCCAGTCGTACACAATCCGAGTGTCCACGACAAACGTTGCATTCTTGGCATCCTCCTGGAGGTATGGACGGAATGCTGGCGCGCATCTGAACGCAAGCAAAGGATCATCGCTCTTAGAGGGCAGCGCAAATTGACCCCCAGGAGGTACAACAGTCTGATTTGCCATGTAATTCTTCCCGCACCTAGTAAGTTGCAGTCAGTATGAGCTGTCGACACAGACCAGACCAATTACGCACCAGGTTGAGCTCTGGGCGAGGACAGTGCTGATGCTGGCGCCGAGCACCAGTAGGTGCGTACTGCACTTCATGACGAGTACGAAGGGAAGCGGAACTGGGGGTTGGCAAACGCTCCGAGTATTTTATATATCGCGGTTTTAGCGAGCTAGTAATAGCATTTTAGCGTGACAGTCGGGGAACCGACGTATCAGCGAGTTTTCAAATTTCAACCCTCTGTCGCCGCGGTTTGTCACGCAGTACAGACTCACAGCAAAACACCCGCTTACCTCGCCAATTGTACCCTATAGAATACTTAGAATACGCTTCGGACACGTACGTAGGCAGGGTTGGTCTGTTTGTGATGTACTACAAAATTGGGGAGGTTTTACATTCTGTCCAATGTTCGCTTTCGCTTTCGCATAACGTTAAGTTAGAGGTCCCGAGTGGCAGTGACTAGCGACTCACATCACAACTGCGATCTGCTGGCAAGAGTTCCTGAGAGTACATCGTAATGTAGAGACAAACAACAAGTAATAAAGGAAAGAGTACGGCAAAATGGCTCATGAAAGAGCCGACTAACATCCATGTTTAATGATTCGATCCTCCCATGTTCAGCCGAAGGAACTAAAGAACAAAAGAACTAAGATACTGGTGCAGAGGTACAAGTGTACACAGGTTCCCTTGCGAAGGGCTATTCACCTCGATCGTAACCTACACGAGTGGCGCTTTCTCGGATGTTGCAAATGTGGGGGATTCCTCGCTGTCCGGAAGAGAGCCATCCTCTGCACTTGGGGTGAGGGACGGGGCAGATATCATATAGTTAGACGGTAAAATGTCGCCAAATGTCTTTGGAACTTGGTTGGACTGTTTCTCCCAAAGTAACGGATCACGGTGTTCTGAAAGTTGAGTAGGCTAGGACCAAACTCCAATGCTCTGAGTAGTACACGACTCGCCGATGATAGTAACACTGCGACAAGGCGGTATCGGGCATTTGACTGGTTGCAAGACACCATATTCATCTCCTGGCTCATTCTGGTAGAGCTGTCCAAGACGATCACGGAACAGATACCGCTGGGAGTCCGCGTCATAAGCAATGCGCTTTACCCCTTCGGGGAGGCGGTACGAGTCCTGTAGAGATGTATAGACGATTTCGCAGTTGGTCGGTGAGAGAAAGCTCACTTCGTCAAATTGCGTGAAACGGTTCATGGATACGATAGCAATAGCTAGCCCGTAGAGAGTGTTACTAACAAGCGGTAGCAGGATAGTGTGTAAGAGGACGGGATCAGGAAATGTACGCTGTCTCGATAGATGACTTTTCGATAGCACTCGTACGTTCTAGATTAAGACGGCAGTGCCCCCCGCAGCCCTATGACATCTATAGTACGAGACCCCAAGCCTCATGTACTGGGAACGAGTCCTGAAAACGGATAATCTTGGCTGACCACAGAGCCCCGTCTGTTGACAGTTGACCGTAAGGTGGCACAACAAGCCCCTGACCGTCGGACACCGTCATTTGTCGTCTCGGACTAGGGTTAGGGTTTGCAATTTCCTCGCCACCAATCAAGCACAAATTTAGCAGCCTATCTGTAACTCACAAAACCGTCGAACGAGTTCAGCCTTGTGGGTGTGCGTGGAGCGTATTTTGACAGTAGGTTTGCGGGAGTGATGCCTAGAAAAACTACGGAGCCGCCCAAGAAGCGGGCGAAGGTTGAACAGCCTGCAGGTGAACATACCGCAAGCATCCAGGATATTGGCCAAGTTCTGCGCACACAGAACCCAGATACTTTGGATAAAGGTTTGTTCCGTAACGAGCTCTAGATATACTTTGTTTCATCATATTACAGCGTTGCCTACTTTGCGCTCGAAGCTGTATCAACGGCCAGACGAGATCATATCCCCCCAGGACGAGCGTCTTCAGCTGCTGAAATCATGGCTAGACGAGTCGCCTGGCGCTAGTGATTTATTCAATGCTTGGGAGAGAGCGAGCCAGGTGAGTGAGTAGTTGCAAACTCTTTGGTCCGTTGTGTCAATTTTTCTTGTATAGCTTCCTACGATAGCCTTGTTGGTCACTATATTGTCTTCGGCCCTCACACTGCTATCATCTCATTTGCCGTACCACTCGTATGGTCTTCCACTTATCCGGACGTCGTTGTCGACACACTGGATCCGGCGGCTGAGCACTTACATTGGTGGATCACACAACGACGTTATCCTTGCTACACTCAAACTTTTCAATGCAATATCTACATTTGGCGGTGGCCGCGAGAGGAAGGCTGTTTTCGAAGCTTTCCCTTGGGACAACAAGGTCTCTTTCATCATTTCCGCGTTGTCACACGAACCTAATTGGCAGGCTTTCAGACGCTACCAAAATTACTGCACATGCGGCGTAGAAATAAAGGCATGGATGCCAGTGTCAGCCTTTCCAAACCAGGTATGTGTTGTATCCGCCCGTGAACGTGTCTCACACTCCCAATGGATAAGATATTCGCACACTTTACATCCTGTTTATCCTCTCATTCGTGGATAGAGACTCACCTTCTTCCGTCAAAACCGCCTTTTTGGAGCAGCGCCGGGAGTTTTTCTTGAGTATCTTCAAGGGTCTTAATCAAGATCCCTATCTGGTCATTCAAAGGGTTCTGCAAGTATCTTGGGACGGACTCTGGTCGGACCAGAAAGTCAAGCGAACACTGAAGATCGGGGTCTTCGGCGAAGCTACTCTCTCTCATGTGAGTTGTTGAGACTTCTCTCACGCGAATCAACCGCAATCAACGACAAGTAGCTCGTCAAATTATACGATCGCGCTGTCCCTGAAAAAGAAGGCGAAATTCACATCCCCGCTGACGTTGTTCACCATTTCTTACTGGCTATCTGCTCTCGACCTGGCCAGGGAATATGCTTTGAAGACCGTGGCTGGTACTCTCGAGAAGCAGAAGAGAGTGTGCCTGATGATGAGGGAGGTACCACTGAACGCAAACGGGGTGGCTCGAGCAAAGTTCACAACAAGATTTTGGCAAACTTTCTACCGACTCTGAAGGTCAACGAAGACCCTAGACAACAGGAGCTTGCTTTGAAAATATTCTTAGCATCTCCCGAGCTGGTCGCAGGGTTTGTTGGTTTACGGGAGGATTTGAACTGATTACTAAACGTAATACAGGTATTGGTCGGCCGCTGCACTTACCTTGGAACCGAGACTGTCGTCCAAGTGGATTAGCAATATTTCCTTCTCAGGGCAGGTAATTTCTCAAGCGGTGCCCACTTCTTCATTTCTTCTGTCTGGCACAGCTGAATACAGTCCCATTCCACCACCACTCTCGACCATAATGGCAAATATACTGCCGCCAGTTGGAACCAAAGCTCATTTCACTAAGGGTTTACAGGTTGGGGCAGCTGGCCTTGTACAGCATTGCACTGCACTCACTCTCGCCAAGTGCTTGAGAAAGCTGGCAGAGGTGGCCCGTATCTTCGAAAGAATAATTGCTGTCCTAGAAGAGGATGAGGAAGGAGGTCAGTGGAGCCAACGGCGGAAGGAAGTTGAAAAGGAGGCTAGGAGGCGAGTACCTGAATTTCAGGTCATCGTCGCCTTTTCGCAGCAACACATAAGCTTGCCGAATGCTCCAAACACTTCTAAACATGCTCTGTTGAGTGAAATTTCGCAAAGAGTGCTATGGCTCTATCAAGAATGTCTCCCTGATGTCGTGGCCGAAGCAAGATTCGAAGTCGGCAAGTTAGTGCTTACTCTTGCTGAGGGATCACTGATGCCACTTCCTGAGGATGGGAAGAGCAACACTACAGACCAGGTCCGGTCGCTTTCCCCATTACAGAAAGTAAAACAGTTGCATGTCTTACGTCTGCTAAACAAAAGTGACCAATTCACATGGAGTGGAAAGATCGGTTGGTTTATTCTCCATCTCTCTTGTATGTGGTAATAATGATTGTTTCTATAGCTTCATCCTCGCGCACATACTTCCACGTCCTGCTCAGAAGCCTTGTCTACCACCAGTGTCTGTGCTTTGCATACCACACTACACGAACTTCTACAACACGTCCTTGCTGCGAGCGTGCTTTTCCAGGAGGATCCCGCTGAAGTGGATTTATGGTTAGTGTCGCTACCCTCGGGTATCGTCTGTCGAGGACCGGGCACTGAGACGCCAGATGGTGCACCGCTTACCGACGAAGTCGACAGTGTGGTGACCTTTCTCGATGAATGCACGCAACGATGTTTAAAGACACCCTACCGTTATATGGAAGCGATGGCCGGTCTTCTCCAGTCGAACGATGCACCTAGTCCAGACGCTGCGTCTGTGGATGCACAGGTCGAGGCAGTTGCTAGTCCGTTGTTGATGACTGTTTTCGAGCAGATCCAGGCAAAGATAAACGGGCGGTTGATGTCACCATCTGATGCCTTGTCAGTCTTCACCTTTGTCAGACGGTTGGTCTTCAAGCTAGCAAGCAAACAAGAAGAAACTGGGTATCGTGCTTTGCGAACTCTTGTCGACAAACTGGAGGCGCATATGGCCAGCTGATAACTTTTTCGAGAACCACCCTAGTATTAGAGGAGCCATACGCCGTGAGCTATCCATCGCGACTGCTTGTCTCAAGCACCCAGAGACGGGGCCCTGCTCTATCGCGAGGGGGAGAGCAGATACCGGTGCTGTCGAGGTCTTCCTTGACCGCGTTGAACAAATGCCTGTCCGTACGTTACAACCTTTTCAGCGTAGCATCCGGCGTGATGGCTCATTTTTTGGTGGGGATAGCCGAGAATGAAAATGCTCGAATGACCGGTGCGTATGAACTGGTTGATTGGGTTCGTTTGGTAGACGTCCCTCCTACGCCCACGGACATATCCCGCCTAGCACTCGTCATCTGTCGCTTCCACAAGCCTACGCTCAAGGCTCTGGTGGACGTTTTATCCCCTTCGGAAGGCCAGTTGTGGGAGTCGAACATTCTGGAGGTCCTAGAGGAGTGAGTCGTATGTTCCGTAGGTGCAAGAATCTTACTCACCTGTTCCGGCTGCAAGAGCTCACGTTGAAGTTGACTTTGATTGGTTATTCGTCCATTGCTCCAGCGTGCAATTCGGGGATAGACAGTCTCGAACGAAACTGCTACGTGCGCTATTCTCACAGAAAATTACACTTTCTGACGTCGAGAGGGCGATGCAGCTCGTGTTGCATGGTATCGTTGGTCCGGACGGCCGGACAGGCCTGACGAGGGATCTGTTACTACTTCTTCTTGAACTATTTAGCGGAGCGCCAGCCAGCCTTGGAAGTCAGGACGTGCTAAACCTTGAAAGCGACGGTTGCCATGCAATCCGCCTTTCCTTGGTCTCTGTCTTTCGGTCGACGTTGCCACAGAAGTTCACGATGGTGGGTGGCAGTACCCTGCGTAAACGAATTTGGATCAATATTGAGATGTTGTCTTCCTAGCCCTTCAGAATTTCATACAAGTGGCGTTCAACCCCTCCAGTTTGGATGACAAGAAGGCTTTGGCCCCAGTAGCTGCTCAGTGGGCCGATTCTGTGAAGGAAATGCTTTCGTCTGGGCAACATGACAAGGTGTGTAACAGCAATACTGTTGGTAGACAAGTGCTCACGCTCACTTCGTAGCTGAGGTTGGCTAAACCATGGATTAGGTTCATGGAACTGTCGGAGCTCCATGCTGCATTAGATCTGATCGAAACCTCCCAAGAACATGGCCCCGTCATTCATGAGTTTTTGGAGGAGCTTCTCTCTGCGGTGAATCAATCACAGTCATCCAACAACGAGAGTCTCGCGGAATTTCCAATCGCACGGTTGCTGGGTCTACAGAAACAGTTACCTGAGTCTCCTCTCTTAGAGGGCATGATCGCAAAGTCTTTGGCATCTCAGCTCCCGGTTGTTCATGACGGTGTTCTATCTGCCTCGCTATGCTTCGAGGGACTGGCGTCGTTGCGTCTGCCACGACACAATCACTTAACCTCTCTTCCACCCGATTTGATTTCGCAGTTTCTAGGGAGAGAAACGTGGTCAGACTCCACAGCTCAGATAGTCGCCATGCTGCTTTATGCACGAGCGTCTTCTTCCGCCGCTGTCGTCCATTGGCTGAACAACAAGAAATATGATCGACTCTCTGCCGATCACCTTGCCATAACATTCGCGGCGTTCCTTGATTGCCCTGAATCTGACAGGGACCAGGTGATCCAACTGGATGATGACATATTCTGCGGACTTCTGGAACAACTCCTTTCTGAGTGGCCGGGTCCTGGCGAGCGGAGATTACGACGTCTTCAGTGCGTATGTTATGCCTTGCAGCAAGATTCTCAACGAAGGCATCACTTGTCAACATTGCTGCAGCAAAAGTTGCGCGTTTTCCCACTGGAAAGTTTCTCATTCGAAGCTATGTACATCGTGCGCCGCGTTTTGGCGGTCCCTGGTTGTGAATCCCTAGGTCGCCAGTCTCGTGGATCGTGTTCTCCAGTGGGCTGTTCGATACATCTCCAACAGTGACCATGATCATTACTCTCGGAATGCTCTCGAGCTTCTCAGTACGTCCTTCCTTCAGTCTTGAAACACAACGATATGTTTATTCACGATGATTCACCAGCAAATGTCTCCAAAACTAACCTCAAACTTAAATCACATCTAGTTGAACCATTGTTAGGTGTCATCGTCAAAGGTCACCTTTACGATTCCTGCCACACTTGACCTAGCAGTTTCACTTTTGGAGAATACCGATCTTAAGGTGGGCTTTTCTCATGTGTTGCGTGACGCCGCTGATGTCCCGTTCCAGCCTGTCGTTGTCAACAGACTGTTGCAGAACATCATGCAGCACGAGAATTTCTTCAAGTTTTTGGGTAAAGATGGCTCACCATCACAAAGAGACGGGATAACCCGTTTGCTGGATAGACTATTCCGCCTTCATCCCGCCAATACGTGCCACCCATCACACATAGAACCACTCGTGCAGGTGTATGGGGGAACCATGTCTACTTCAGACCGGCGGCTGTTGTCTATTATGAGGCTCTTTGAGGCGGAAAAGCGTACCTCGATTTCACCAGTTGTTCTCAAGGTGGTCACCGTCACCAGATGCTTCAGCGACGAACATTCTGGAGGTCGTAGCAAAACTTGGATCCTGTCAGGATGCTGCGAACATGTTTGTTCTTCCCTGGATGGAGGCGGTTTGGTGACTGACGAGAAGGGAGTGAAGGAGAATCCGAACGACGAGCACATGTATGACCCAATACTCGTCATCGCCATCTCTGCGCAGATGCTCTCGGAGTCTCCGCCAACAACAGCAGCTTGCATGGGTTAAGCTTTTCCGATCTAACGTAGTTAGCTTGCTCATACGCTGCCTGTCCTCGAAGGATGTCAACATACGAGAGGCGGCCGCATGCCAGCTAGCCATGGTTTCCGACGGTATCCAGGTAAGCCTCGGATTGCACCCGTTTACTATTTGTGTATTGCGGTAAACCTCATGTCGATTTCCTGTAGAAATCGAGCATGCAAGAGAAGTCTCAAGCTCTTTATGTACTCCAGCTCCTCAGGAACGTGATGAACCCCACTGCGGACAATACGCCCAGGCGCCTCCCGACATACGCGACGCTCATATTGCTCCACGCTCTCCGAGGGATCTTTTACCCCTCCAACTTCATATACCCTCGCACGGCACGATTCCTGCTACAACGCCCAGAGCTAGATGTCACCGACGTACCGATGTTGTTTAACATGCTCTATAGCAACTCGGATGACTGGAAAAAGGAGCGAGGATGGATGATCAGAATGCTAGCAGATGGTATGACGAGCACCGAGGACTGGCGCGTTCTAAAGCGTCGGCACACATGGGACCTCCTTGCCAGCTTGTTCCAGAGCTATCAAAAGGACAAGGCGCTGCGAGCTGGGATTCTTGAAGTACAGCTTTCCACCTTCCGCAAGGTTTCGCTGAGCTAACGGTAGATTATTCTAGGTTCTTGCGAATCTTACATGTAATGCCCAAGCGTGTGGCTCTTTGATACTCAAGTCTGCATTGCTGCCATGGATCGAAATACAGCTTATGCACGGACACGATGGAGAAACGATAGCTTGGCTGAGGATTTTAGAGAATATCGCAGTCATCGCAGATATTTCCAAGTTGCGGCGTGCGATGGGTGTGGAATGGTTTACTATCATCTGTCGCAGCCTGAGCTGTATTGTTCAAACGTCCGGGGGTTAGTGTAATCATTCTCGGCTAGAATTTGGTCAACTCACCACGTTATTTGTCCAGACCGAGACATCGGTACCCTGAGCCAAATTGCAGCGGTCGTTTTGCGTTTGAGCTTGTTGGAAGGAACGGCGAAGCACTACCTCGAGCAGGTGTTGAGGCACGCTGTTACTTACCTCAAGAAAGTGGAATCTCAAACCCGACTCCACACTCCCATACAACCAGAGACAGCGTTTTTCTCGCCGCCAAAAATTGCCAACCCACCTCATGGTGCCCAAGGCCTGCATCTTATACCTACTGTGACGGACCCCTTTGGGGCATGGGGGTTGGCTGTAGAAGCGCTCTGGCGTGCAGGCATGGTTCTGGATCACAGAGTTCCTGAGTGGGATATATTAACAAGCAGATTATTGATATGGCGAGGGGCTGCAGGAGATGATGGTAGCCAGCTTGGGGAATGGGTTAGAAAAGAAAGTATTCGTGCCACACGAGCACATTCATGACCACTAGTGATTGGATGTGTAGCGCTACAGATACGAACAAGACGCTCTCATATGCGAGGGTTCTTTCACAGTCTTGTTGCATGCCTTGAATGGCGAGCTAAGATGTCGATTACAGACTGACTTAACTTCTCTGGGGCATGCTGAGGGACCTGTATGTTCTAGCCTGTAAGACGGGGCTTTACCTGGGACACGCGACTACTGACCAGGTGTCCTACACCATTGATACGGTGGACTGTTTCAAAACGCCTTCCAGAATTAGGATCCACAAGAGTATCCTGTACTGAGCGCGGCCTATTGCATGGTGTTACAGAGTGCGACATTTACATGATTCAGAGCCCCTGCACGCACATCCAGTCGTTTTTGCCGCCAAATATAACACTGACAGGGAGGTATCTGCAGGTTTCATTCAACAACTCCAAACCCCTGTTAGAGCCGGTGGAATCACGGTACATCGTCTGTTGCATGACTAGGACATTACTTGACTTCAACCGGTATCAAACCTCACTCACCACCTCTTCTTCACGCTGAGCACGCAAGGCACACACCTGTGTATGGTGCGACCTCATGTTGGGCCCCTGGATGACTCCTCAAGCCATAGCGCTGGCGGAAAATGACCATTGCACTTTCTCTGTGAGACGTAAGCAACGCACCACGTAGAGCTCCAGAACGCGACGATCCCAGAGTGCAATATGCTTATTGGCTTCTAGGTATTCCGCGGCATCTTCGCGTGAGGGCCACACATCACGTCGTTCGTATGCGCCCTGCACAAGACGCACTTGTAACGGTCGCAATGGTTCGAGACCCTGCGGACTAAGAAGAGGCTCGACAAGGATAACAGAGAAGAACGAAAAACTGGGCTGTAAATCCTGAAGTATGACACTATAAAGTGGGTCAGCTGGGTAAATTGCTATAAGAGTAAGATATTTTGTAACGAACATGGCCACACCGCCGAGCGAGTGTCCGATTCCGACGAGCCTTTGTGCTTTGAACTCAAAAGGCGGAGAAAGAACAGGTCCGAATGTCATAAAACGATGGACAGCTTCCGCATACTTTTCGCATCCAACTGCAGTTTAGAACCATCATTTGTGAGAAAACGAAACAATAAAACCTTGCATAAGCCCATACACTCACATTTTCGGAAATATTGGGGATTCCGCAACGCAGCGTCGTTCAGCACGGCAGACTGCCCGTGGTTCGGACACTCGATAGCCCATGCACATTTAACTTTTGTGAGCTTACTCGCGGTCCTGGGTTCAATACGACTTGATGGCACTAGAAGGCTTTTGAAAATATGTTGAATAGTTGGCTCCCATGTTTCCTTGTGAAAGCTGGTCGAATGGAGCATGATGAGCGTTAAGGCCTCATCGTCATCCCAGTGTGCCATGAACTCGGGGAGCCAATACTGTGTAGCTGTCACATGCAATAGGTACTGAGTATCAGGTTTAACGACGAATTGCCGTTGGAGCATCGTGTGGTTGGGGGACAATAGGACTGCGCCCGTGGTAAGGCTGAGAGGTGGCCATGACAAGCGCTGGTCGGAAGACAGCTGACAAGCCGGAAACAAACCCCCTGGAGTGTTGGAAAATTCTCAGTTGTCAAAGTTGGCTCGACAACCAGCTTCACGGATTCAAGTCGGCCACTGAATGGCGCCAGCGCACCAAGCACCGGAGTACTTCAAACCAGACCAAATGAAAGTCCGAAACACACTAGTGGACTGATCAGTGCCGGAATGGTTGCAGAGTGAAAGCACTTGCACGTGACCAATCACGTCGCGACGCGGTCATTATGTAAATTGAAATTGCTACAATGAAAGTCGAATTTTTTTTCGTCTTCGTCAGAGCCACTTGAAGTTCAACCTGACTCTACTACTTACATACTGACATTGTTTATAAACGTACAATGCCTCCTGCCTCCGCCACTTCCTCGAAAAGAACAACGCGCAGTAACACGTCGATGGTGAGCACCACCGGAGTCTACTTTACGGATGTGGTTACTGATGGAACGCGCAGTTCGTGGTAGGTTAATTTGTGGCGTAATATGCGTCTTAAACTTTTTACAACTCTTTGACGCCATCTCAAGTTCGGCTCTAAACCGTCTTCGTCGGATGCGTCGTCTACCCAGGCAAAAGAACACCGGGTTCCCACACGGCCCTTCACCTTTTCCACCAACGTGAGAACTCAGCATAAATCACCCTTCCATCCTCTAATGATTACTTCTACCTTAGTTGCCTGCCAAGAATGACAAACCAACTTCACCGGAACCTACCACCTGGCCTTCGAGCCCAGCGGCACCAGAAACGGTAAGTATTCTCCGTACTTCACCATGAGCCAATTTTCGAGTAACATGTGGGCACCGTCGTTGAAACACAAGGAACCACCTGCAACAGAGGAAAATGCAAAGGAAGGCCAGGAGCAGGCTAAGAAGAATCAGTCACCTGATGTCGACGTGACTTCGCCACTGTACGACTTGTCAGACGTAAAGGATGCCATTGTGCGGTTGAATTCACTTTCTTGTGTTTCTGCTGTGTTGACGTGATTTGTTTAGGAGGAGCTAGAACATTTGAAGAAGGGTAGTGCAAGCGAAAGTACGGAACACGAAATGCGAACGGCACCGCTTATTACACGCGAGGCATTTGTTGCAGCGGGGTTCAAAGATCGAGTTTTGCAATATGGGGTTCTTGGGGAAACCCTTTCTATCCAGCAAGTTTTCTTTATCGCCCGCCGGGCTAACTGACTTAGTTTTTGCAGCTCAAAGTCAGGAGCTCATGTACCAATCGATCCGCGGTTATACATCAATACTGTAAGCCTAGTTTTGATGTTTCGCCATCATTTAATCTTACTGTGATTAGAATGCTCCCGCTTTCCGCTGTTGTTTGTGGTGTTCAAGGTTCCTGGGAAATCGCATACCGTATCCGTGCTGCTCGAGAACATGTTCATACTTGGTCAAGACTTCGATAGGTTCTCTGGACTATGCACTTTCTGGGCTGGTCCTCCACTTCGGCGAGGGCGGCCCTGCGTCCCGCCCTTGCGAAGCTGCCTGGGTAGGTGCTTCTTCCCAACCAGGTGTGAAAGCCCCAAGGGTGAAAGTATACGTTTCACGTTCTTCATTAAACACCTATGAAGTCTATTTATGCTCCCCTGGGGGATCGCGTGCGGGTTTCCCCTCTCCTATTCAATGAATCGGAATTGGATGCACAAGCGATACTGTCTATGATGGCAGTGGGTTCGTCAGAATCAGCACCATTGTACATGCAGATTGTCCTGGTGAGTCCGACATCCCTTCTTTCTATTGTTACCATTGACACTCTCGTAACGATGGCGATGACAGAGCATACTGCGTGACCTAGGAGAAAAATTCTCGTACAAGGCATTTTTGACACGGCTAGAAGCGGAAAAGAAAAGCTTCAATCCTGCTCAAGTGGCAGGGCTTGAGCAACGCCTTGCACTGCTGAATTCTTTCATGGAGCCCCAAGCTCCTCCGCACTCGCGGAGTTCCTCCAAGAAATCGAAAACTCACCGCTTCTCTGAAGGCAAGCTGACCATCATCGATCTATCAGACCCATTTATTGATCCTGCTTCGGCTTGCGGGCTGTTTGAGATTGTCACACGTTTGTTCGTACGAGCGGACGTTGATACGGGTAAGGTCCTGGTGGTAGATGAGGCACACAAGGTATTCGTTTTCTTTTACGCGCTGCTTTTGAGGAAGATAACTAAATCTCCGGCATCCAGTACCTCTCAGTGAGCAGAGGAGCCTCTGGCTTAACGAATGCATTGTTGACGCTTACCCGGGAGCAACGACATCTCGGATTGCGGGTTATCATCAGTACGCAAGGTATAGTCTTTATCTGTGCCGACAGAATTTTAGGTCTAACCGCGCCGTATTCTCCAATAGAACCTACTGTAATTCCCCCCGTTCTCATGGATTTGTGTACGGTTGCGATCATGCATCGTTTCTCGTCACCCGCGTGGTGGGACCATCTTGCGCGGCACGTGGCTACGGATGTGTCAGCTGACCAAGGTTTTGAGACAGTTGTTAAACTGAAGGTGAGCCTAGTTGTTACTTATCATAAGATTATTAGATGATTCTAACGCCTGAAATAGACTGGAGAGGCCTTGGTGCTCGCCCCGTCCGGTCTTGGTGTCTATCCTGACGAAGATCACTGCCCCGCGGAGAAATCGGATAATAATACTGAGAAACAGTATGCAAAGGGGAAGACCCCATTAAAGCTCGGCCAGTTTGGGAGACGCTTTTTGCTTATGAAGACCCGCGCACGGATAACAAAAGACGGGGGAGCCTCCGTGTTAGTCGTCAACTCGGATTCTGGGGATAACGAGGGCGACAGCGAGTGAGGGTGCTGGGATTTACTGTTGGCATCTTTATGAAACGCGAAATAATCTAATACCTGAACACGATACCTGTCCTTGTTAGCGGACATAATTTTTACGGTACTACATACTTTGTGCAATATACATAGATCTCCGGACAGGGGCGTTCTTCAACAGAGCCAAACAGGGTCTCAGTGGCACGGAAGTATTTGGTCACCTATTACGCCGCAGTCGAAGCTAGTAATAACGGGACGCTCGACAGTCACGATACAACCTTCCCAACGTTCCAATTACCACTAGCGACAAGGTATCAGTCAGTTCATTCAATCGTTGGTCTGTGGACTTCAAATTCGCTGTCGGCATTGACACGTATACAGACCGGCCTTGGATTGACAAAATATAGCATCTGGCAATGTCTGCCGGTGTTCGGGCACGCAGGCCGGCCACACCACCTCTCGGTCTCTCAAATGTCACTCCTTCAACCCACAAATATCCCCCCTCGCTTTCGCGAACAGACGGCTTAGACGCTGACGCCCGCAGACAAGCTGCTTCGAAAGGTTATGGACCAGGTCACAAGGGCTATGCACCAGGTGGACTTAATATCACTTCTGGGGAATGGAAACTGCTCGTAGTCGTGCTTATAGTCGCAACCATCGTACGGATGTTCCGTATATCCCATCCGGATAGCGTTGTGTGCGTCCTTGGTTCTCTGGCAAGACTCCTCTGCTAACTGTACTGGACCCCGACAGTTTCGATGAAGTACACTTCGGGAAGTTTGCAGGGCGTTATATAAAAACGCGCTATTTTGTGGATGTACACCCGCCGCTGGCAAAGCTGTTAATCACCGCAGCGGCGTTCTTATTTGGATTTGACGGAGAGTTTGATTTCAAGGAGATTGGAAAGTCAGTGATTCCTTTCCCACTATTCGACGCCCGATTGATGTCACTAGAGAGTTTGTCAATGTACCCTACGTGGCCATGCGAATGGTACCCGCAACACTCGGCGTTGCCACCATTCCATTGGCATACCTTACACTACGCGGACTCGATTGCAAAGCTTCCACAGCACTCCTCGCGTCCCTTTTCCTAACTTTCGAAAATGGGCTAGTCACTCAGTCTCGGCACATTCTCCTGGATTCCCCTCTCGTATTCTTTACGGCGTTGACCATCTTCCTGTTTGTGGGATTCTCCAACGAAGACAACCATCGACCGTTTTCAGAACAATGGTGGACCTGGCTGGTGTTGACTGGTCTCTCACTCGGCGCAGTCGTCTCCTGTAAATGGGTTGGTTTGTTTACCATTGCAACAGTCGGCGTGTGTACGGTTTTGCGCCTATGGCTTCTGCTTGGAGATTCGCGCGTTTCCGTGAAGAAGTGGTCACGGCACTTCTTCGCGAGGGCACTCTGTTTGATCGCAATTCCGATACTGTTCTACATGACGATGTTTGAGATCCACTTTCTGATCCTCGGCAGCTCTGGTGATGGGGATGCGTTTATGAGTTCTGAGTTCAGACAAACTTTAGGACACGGAATGCCAGATACTTACGCAGGTGCGTCGTGATGATCCTGATCATGGACACATTGACTAACAGCCGTCTAGACGTCGCGATTGGTTCTCAGATTACCATGCGTCACGTTAACACCCAAGGTGGTTATCTTCATTCACACTCCCACAACTACCCTGGCGGCAGTGGACGTACGTCTTGTCGTTTCTGTTTTTAATTCGTGGTTTGACAGGTCTCCCCTGAAGAACAACAGATTACCCTTTATCCTCACCGCGACGAGAACAATTTCTGGCTCGTCTTGAATGCCACTGCCGACAATTATCCACAGTATGACTACGAACACCAACCAATTGAATATATCAAACATGGTTCGCGTGTCAGGCTTCGTCACATCGTCACGGACAAGGCCCTTCACTCTCATGACGTCCGACCACCAGTCTCGGACGTCGACTTCCAGAATGAGGTTTCAGGCTATGGTATGACGGGCTTCACTGGCGACCTCAACGATGACTGGGTTGTCGAAATCGAGAAGGGAGATAGGCACGACAAAGAATCTAGCAAGCGGGTGAAGACCTTGCGAACGCATTTCAAACTACGCCATTTCATGACGGGCTGTTACCTCTTCTCTCATTCAGTCAAGCTTCCTGAGTGGGCCTTTGATCAACAGGAAGTAACGTGTAATAAACAAGCTGTCAAAGCCAACTCGCTCTGGTACGTAGAAACCGCTTCGAAGCACCCTCAGCGTGAGCTCTTCCATACCCTATTAATCGAATTCACCTGCTGATGGGCGCCGTAATGCACGATTCACTAGTTCCCCAGAATGCAGAGAGGGTAAATTACAAGATTCCAGGGTTCCTAAGCAAGTTTTGGGAGTTGCAAGAAGTGATGTGGACGACTAACTCGAAGCTCACTGATCGCCACGTCTATGATTCTCGACCTTGGAGTTGGCCTTTTCTCCGGCGTGGCATCGTAAGTATACTTTCGTAGCGTCATCCGAATCTTATCACGAACGGACATGCACAGAACTTTTGGGTCAAGGACCACAGACAGATATACCTGATCGGTAATCCTTTCGTATGGTGGTCAAGTACTGCTTCAGTCATCACATATGTGCTTGTCCGCGGTTTCCTCATCCTTCGAGCAAAGCGAGGGTACAAAGATCTTGAGAACAGTGAGTGACACCGTATTTACCACACCCCGGTTCTCCTGTGTACTGATTGATGATGATCCAAGCCAAACTTGTCAAGTACGATGTGCTTTGTGGCTTCCTTTTCACGGGCTACGTTCTACACTATCTCCCCTTCTTCCTCATGTCCCGCCAGCTCTTCTTACACCACTATTTCCCCGCTCTCTACTTTGCGATCCTCCTTACCAGTGCCGTATTTGACTTTGCAACGTCGACGTTGCGTCCCCGTATAAGGCTTCAAGTCGCTTGCGTACTGATCATAATAGCGGTGTTGACGTTCGACAAGTTCTCCTCACTTGTGTACGGGAGTCCATGGACAAGGAGTAAGTGTAATAATGCGGTGTGGATTAAAACCTGGGACTTTGCCTGGTAAGACACCTCGGCCAATTGCTGTTGTACTCAGAATGGCTAACATCATATGGTCATTTTCAGCCGGGAATTTTATGATGAGGTTGGTACCGTTTTCTGCCGAGTGATCAAAATTCCAAATTGACATTGCTGACGTCTTATTTCTCGTAGGTCACCAGTATTCAATCACCAACCTTGAACAAGTCCGTACCTAGTGCTACGATTGGCGGTGAACCTGGTGGTCGTGCCGCCGTTATTGTGGATGATGTATTGGACGTGCCTGTGGCGGGTGGAGAGACGAGCACGATGATTTCGTTGGGAGGCGCAGAACCAGGGCAGGACGTTTTCGCTCAGGGGGAGATCAAAGAGGCGAAGAGTTCTCAGCCCCGACCCGAAGTTGTATCTTCTGAAGAGAACGAGAGAGTGGTGAGTGTCGTCGGCGGGACGGCGGAGGGGACACCGGAGGTCTCGAATAAGGACTATACTTCTAGCGCACCGCAACAGGAAGAGTCCTCACTGGAGAAACCTTCAGAACAGGTTATGCCTGAGAGCGGACACCGCAAAACGGAGGGGCCGTTGGATCAGGCGGAGGTACTTGCCAATGAAGCTGCACATGAGCTGTATCCGGAAGAAGGTGGTGCGTAGATATCGGGTTAGATTTTGGAGGCTTGTATATTTTAATTTCAATGAACAACGTCGTCCAGTTTGCTCAGTTGCTCGTGGGTTCTTGATAGCGAGATGACAAGTTACAATTAATATTTCCTAACCCTCACCTCGGAATCTCCACACAGACCCTTACTACCCATTACACTATATCGTTGCTTGTAACCCTCTCTCGTGGTATTTAGTTGGTCACAAAACTCAATAGACCTCCCCGTCCCTTACGACAACTGACTGTTCTCTGAAGCCTGCTCGATCTTCTCCCTCTCCTGTTCCCACACAGGCCTAGGCAATCTAAAGACGTCACCGACTCTCCCGTACGAGATATCCCCTAACCGTGCGATTGGTTTATACTGGGTGATATCGACAACCCCGCGCTCGTTCAGTACGTCCTTGCGAACGTGGATATACTTCACATGTGCGAGAATTAGTGTCGCAGTGATCTCTCCACTGACAGGATGAGCGATATCGATCGCTTGGAAGAGCTACACGTATCGGTAGAGCGTGAGAGGAGAGTATCATGCTCAGGCAGAGATCTCTCACGTCGCATTCCATACTGAACGCACTCTCCTTGACACGCGGGGCCTTCACGTGAATCTAAAAAAGCAAGGTAACCAGGGGCATATATACGTAATTTCGCACCACCCACGCTCGGGGTCTTTGTCAACCCGCTGATAATCCACTCGTCGAAATCAGGCGGAGCGTCTATGGCCGTTACGTTCGCGTTCTCGACGAATGGCTCGCTGATGATATTGACGGTAAAACCGAGGCCATTCTTCGCGTTCGTAGCAGTGTCTTTGACGCGTGGGGCGTTCCTGCATGAGAAGGAAACGATCGGCGGGTTGCGTGTTACCTGGATGGCGGGATATCCCCTATTGTTAAGCAGAAACCAGAATACCAGATGTATACTACGTGCCGTGTTGAAATAACTTTCATAACGAGGAACGGTCTTTGAACAGGATGAATCTCCAACGGGAGTTACTATCGTACCTGAAAGGCGCGAGGTTCTCCACCCCAGTCTCGGAGACGGAAGAGACGAACGCTACGGGCCTAGGTACTATCGCACTGGTCATAAGTGGGTATAATTGCCTAAGGATGGTATTACGCTCCAATATCAATTGTCAAACAACAAGCTAAAACGCCAGGACTTACGGGGTATCTTCTGCAGTATTGATTATTTGCCATCCTTGTTCTTCCCCTTCCAACCATTTCCTCCCAGATTCGGTGTTCTCGATCTTCTGGCCGAGCGTCCACGAAGCATTTGGTGGTTCCGTGTACTTGGTGTGGGCATCATGGTCGAAGGGAGGTAGGGACATGGCAGGAATTTGATAGCAACCAGTTGAGCTCGCAGCCACACTCATATAGGTATGTGCGATTGACAGATGTCGCTTCCTACGGAAAAGGCACAAGCAGAGTAAACTTTTAGGAAGCTTCCTAGAAAATTGCTCATCAACCTCCACATTGACACCCTCCCACAGTACTTGTGTGCAGGCCAGTTTGGTTATACTCCTAGAGACAGCAGGAATGAAACGGAGCAAATTCCATGTGACCAAGACAGGCTTTTACCACCACATCTCACTCACACACCCAATGCCATCACTACACAATACGGACTAAAGAATTAGAGAAACTTACTACTTTGCATTCCGATTTTGCTGAGTCTCATGCTCTACCAAGTGGCAGAGGAATAGAAACGCAACAACGAAAAAAAGCAAAGAGCCAGTCAGAGAAGGATCCCCCGATGACACAAACTGGTAAGTGCGTCATCGCATCACTAGAGTTGCAAGCAGAGCTCGTGTGTAACGCCGATAAGAAGTGAAACACTTTTAACGGCGGCACAACAAGAAAGGATTCTTCGCGCTACTCGACCTTTCCAGACACTGAGTGTCTGATATATTCTTCCCTGTCCTCTCACTTAATATTGTAATTTGCCTGAAAAACGGAAACTTCGAGTCGGATCAAATAATCAGATCAATCAAGACATTGAAGGTGTTATTCGCCGATCACCATTATATTGATCCGTAATAAGCTCATGAAAGGTTGCCCATCAGCCTGGCGCAGGCCACAGAGCGGACTCGTCCCATTGATGTCTAGGTTTACCGCCCTTGTGGTAAAGATGGGCCAGTCTCACGAGTACGGCATGCGAAAATCGGAGGGTTGAAGACTCTGATTGACAATTTAACGCTCGATAGGCGCTGGATACATACACGTGCGGTGACCCTCGACAGCCAGTTTTCCGGTTGTAGCGGTTTCCATCCTTCAGATCTTCAGACATGTCCCATGCTTGCATGCAGTCATTTTGGAACGCAGTTTTACCTGGACCACCTTCGAACCCCGCTCAGTCTCAGCACAACAACCAAGATGATAGTCGGCCCAGATGGTTCTTTTGCTACTGGCGTCTCCTACTTCTTACTTTTATCGCTCTGCTTCAAGTTTTTGCGTGGATAGCCCTTGGCATATATCACTTGGTCTCGGACCAGGACGACTTCCGATCCGCATTCTCTTCCATCATGATCGGCGTGATGTGGCTCTACAATCTTCTGAAGCCCGCAGTTTGTCCGAGATATACCGCGTATATCGATCTTTTTGTCCTTTATACCATTCTTCTCGGCTTCGGTGTCATCCGTGTCGGGATTTCCACCTACCTCTACTACATTGGAGCTGCTTCTCTCACGAATCTAGAATGGATCAGCATGTCCCTCGATCTCATGGCGATCACTGCAGGTCTGGGGGTCATATGTACCATGTCCATTGGCAATTCCGTCTGACGACCTTCTGCGGGAAATTGTGAGTGATATCCAACCGGCATCAGAAAGCTGACTTTAGTTGCCAACAGTATGTCCGGCGCTCACCCGAGGATTACGCCAGTATCTTTGAGTGGGCCACCTATAGCTGGGTATACCCTCTCATCAAGCTTGGAAACACTAGGGAGATGAGACCCGAAAATGTTTGGGATCTAACCCCCGCTATGCAGTCCGAAGTCATCTTTGCTAAATTCAGGGACACCAAGTAAGTTTGGTTCAATGAAAACACTACATATTTCTGAGTAACTTGTAGAGGCGAAACACTTGGCCGACGATTGTGGGTCGCCAACTTCAATGACCTATGGTTCGTTGTTCCCTGGTACACAAGTTGAAATATACTGATTTATGCAGTCTTGACGTCTTCCTCACTATGGTCACTGTGTTACTGAGCTATGCTGCACCCTAATTTCCTATAGTGAGTACCACAGTTCACGGTCGGTTACGCCGTCCCTGAAGTGCGTACCCTCAGTCAAATTTTATATATGATTGAGAACCCTACCCGAGAAGGTCGCTCGAACGCCTATGCACTGGCGTTGATTGGATTTGTCTGTACTGTGATGAAGGCACGTTGGATTGTCCTCCGTGTCGTCTCACTTACAAACTGTAATTCACCGTTGCAGGGGGAAGCTGATGCCCAACATCTTTTTTTCGGCAGACGTGCCTCAGTCCGTGTTAGCACTCAGCTCATGAATGCGATATATGACAAGGCACTCAAGCGAACAGGTGTTACAATGCAAGAGCCGGCATTTGAGACTGGTCCTGCTGTGGCCTTGCCCGACTCCAATCATCCCAAACGAGAAGCGAGTGATGGGAAGATCGTCAGTTTGATGGCGATAGATGCCAGCAAGGTTTCTGCGATCGTTGCGAGCGCTTATCTTCTTTACGGAGGTATGTCGAACCTCGCCTCGAAATAACACATTTCGTAAAAGGTCATTGAAAGGTCCTTTGGAAACCGTCCTTGCGTGCGTTGGGTTGTGCATGTGTGTTCTTTTATATTTGACGGTCTTCCAGTTAATTTACTTCTACCCTAGGCTTTTGGGTCCTGCAGCGTATGCAGGTCTTGTTGTTATGCTTGGTGCCTGGGCACTTCATATTTGTATCGCACAGCGGCAGGTTTGTTCCCGAAGAGAACTTTCGGCATCCCGTGATCGCCGTATGTCGGTGCTCTATGAGCTGATCAATGCCGTCCGGTTCATCAAGTTCTTTTCATTGGAAAATCATTGGATTAAACGAGTCCAAGATGGCCGATGCGTGGAGATGGATTTGTTAGAGCGATGTTGGTGTCTGCCATGATACCAGGTTGTATGAGCTAACCTATTGCATGGCCAGTCCGGATGAAGTCTGTGCTGTCTGCCACAGTTTGGACAGCAGCTCCTGTCCTAGTATCCGTCATTCCCTTTGTTTGTTTATGTCGACCAAGGTTATCAATTAACACCTTCGGTTGTGTTTACGGTAAGGCTAGATATACCTGTGTCTCAGCACGAGTTGACTGTTTCATGCAGACTATTGCTTTGATGGGCATGCTCCGGTGTGCAATCTCTGCTTCAGCGATTCGATTATGCTTCTGACTTTCACCTGTAGACAACCCCTAAATGTCTTTCCCAATTTTCTTGTGCAAGTTTTCGAGGTATACCCTAACCTTGACCGCTTCTGTTTGAGCCGGCTTACCGGAGCTTATAGGCCCGTCTGTCTCTCGAGCGTATTGAAGCGTTCCTCAGGGAGGAGGAATTGTCTGATCATGTATCTTCACCCAGCGGGTGTTCCGTAGAGACTGGCGATACCATTGCCATCTGCAAGGGCCGCTTCAAGTGGAGGAAGGTTTCAAATGAAACCATAAATCCATCGCCAGAACCACATGCCCTGCAACCGACTGTGTCGACCAGGAGGAAACGAAACTAGCCCTTTGGTTGGTCCAGGTCCAGGGCAAAACGTATTGACGGATGAGAACCGCTTCGAATTAAGAGATATTAGCGTATGTTTCCCCAAGGGCAAGCTATCACTCGTTAAGGGACCCACAGGGTGTGGCAAGACTGCACTGCTGGTAGGTATTGATTAGGGTGCATGAATAGTTTCTGAATAGCGGGTATTCAGTTGGCGTTATTGGGGCAAATGACAATGATCGAGGGAAGACTGATAAAGCCCAGGGATATGTCTAACGCGGGCGGATCTCCTAATTTAGCGGCAATTTCGTATGCTGCTCAGACTCCGTGGCTGCACAGTGGAACAATCAAGGAGAACATCTTGTTCGGATCCCAATATGACGAAGGGAGGTATGATGATGTTGTGGAGCGCTGTGCGTTGCGTCCCGATCTTAACCAGTTGCCGGAGGGCGACCAAACACAAGTCGGTGATAGGTAGGTCGACTTATGCATTCGAACCCGTACCACATTGACTCGTTTGTGACGTAAAGGGGTGTGAACCTATCAGGTGGACAGAAGGCTCGGTATGCTGGTTACTTGGGTCGGCGGCTGTTATCTTGGCTGAAATCTCATGCAGAATTGCCCTGGCACGGGCAGTCTATGCTCAAACCCAGTACGTTTTGCTGGATGATCCCTTCAGCGCGATCGTAAGTATCAAACGATATCCTTTCTCAACTCTGCTTGCCCACTTAAGCCTCCTACAGGACACCCAGACATCGCGCTATCTGTACGAGCGACTGTTTTGTGGACCGCTTTTGGAAGGCCGTACGGTGGTAAGCACGCGAGGAGGGCTAACTTATATCCATTGAAATTTTTTTTGCAGATCCTCGTTACTCATTACGTTGAGCTTGTTCTACCGAAGGCAAACTATATGGTTTGCATGCAAGATGGTCAGATCATCACCCAGAGTTCTGTAGAGGATCTAAGAAAAAAGACTCGTCTACCTGTCAAAACTCATTCTGCACGAAAGGCTCAGGACGTCCGAATACACCAACGAACAAGCGGTGAAAGTGCCAGGGTGCAGATACCGGACGAGAGCCCTGGAGGTGTTGAGTTCTCCCCCTATAAGACCTATGGCCAAAAGTCGTACGTGATTAACTGCTGTTCTGGTCGGAAACACTAAAGCTAGAGTAGACCTCGCTGGATGCGGATGACTTCCGTTATTTTGGTCGTGATGTCACAGGGTATAGGTGTGGCTGAGAAACTTTGGATACGGGTTCGCATTGTTCTTCATTCAGATCTCAATACTGACTCGGATACGCAGGAATGGGGACAAGCTTATGGTAATAACCAGGTAGGCTCTTCGGTGTGGTACAATTTGAGCAAGAGAGCCTTCCTCGATCCAGTCAGCAACACCTGCCAACAGATCTTAGGGTTCCTTCCCGACGCGAACCACCGCCCACTCTTCTATGTCGTGATTTATGCACTAGTTGCTTTCATCATGACTGTTTTGAGCGTTTTGTCAATCATATTGTTGTATGCCGCGGCTCAAAAAGCATCACGTTCGCTATTTTCTCTCCTACTGGAAGGTGTCGTCCACGCATCCCTACCCTGGCATGATACAACACCCAGAGGCAAGGAGCCCGCCCTATTTCGAACGCATGTCTCACAGTCATTGCCTGCAGGTCAAATTCTAGACCGCTTTAGCAAAGATATGCGGGCGATTGACGTTAATCTCGCTAATGATGTGGCTACCGTTAGCAGTGCTTCTGTCAACTTCGTTGCAGCTGCTATCACTGTCCTGTGCGTAGCAATCGTGATGACAGGCAAAACTCAACGTGATTAACCACATTCGCATTTAGGGTATTCTTTCCTGCGTTCATCATTCCAGCAATATTTATCGTCTTCGGCTACGGTTTCGTCGGGACACAATATTTAACTGTCAACCAGGAAATTGCTTCGAATGGAATCAACCTCACGGCCCCCTATCTTTTCTGCTTTTGGGGAGCTTTTGGACGGTATCGTGACTATACAAGCGTTCAGATCTACACATCGCTTCCTGGAAGAATACCATCGGAAGGTGGATGTTGCCAACAAGGTTTTGTTTCTCTACTCCGAGTCATTACAACTACCTGATCGCACCTTTAAGATGTACTACAACTCCTGGATGACAAACCGATGGCTACTCTTTAATTATGATGTTCTTGGGGCTTGCGCGGTGTTAGCGACCACGATTCTCGCGTTATCTGAGCGCGTCGATGCAGGAACGGCTGGTCTCTGTATGACTAGTGCAATGCTTTTTACCCTGAGCATGTATCTCGTTTGCCGGTTTGGGGCGTCTCTCCAGCTTGAATTAAAGTAACTTGCCGACCCCTATCTTTCCGTTGTATCTCACATTTTCCTGCAACAGTGCTATAGAGCGGGTGGCGGAATACCTGAATATACCCAACGATCCCCCAGCTGTCGATCAATCCAACAGATCTCCGTATCTGCCATCCAACCTGTCTATGCAGAATCTCTTCGTCAAATATCCTTCGTGCTCAGAGCCCGTGCTTAAGGACGTCACGTTCACCTTGAATGCACCTGAACGCATTGCTATTGTTGGGCGAACGGGAAGTGGGAGGTCCACGCTGATAAACAGTATGCTACGATTCGTAAGAGCCTCTTGACTTTTCCATTTTTGGATGATGACTATTGACCTAGATCAATCCTGTGCGCGGTCGCGTCACGATAGGCGGAATTGATATTTCAGAGATTGGTATTCGTGATCTGAGATCTCGAATAGTGAGCTGCCCGTGTCAGTGATATGGCCCACGCTCAATGACACGTTTCAGACTTATATCCCCGAGGTACTAGCAACGTTCTAAGAATTGATCACGCTTAATCGTATTTAGGACGCCGGGTTGTTTTCCGGGACACTACGGGAGAATGTGGACCCGTTCCGTCCGTGGTAAATTTCTTGTACCAAAACGTAGTACTGATTCAGTCACAGATCAGTATGAAGACGATGACTGTCTCGATGCCCTTTGTAGAGTTAACCACGCCTGGCACGGTTCCATCACGTTGGATACGCAAGTCGCTCCCGCTGGAGCCAACTTTTCGGTTGGCGAACGGCGACTCATTCCTATGGCCCGCGCCTTGCTTAGACGAGATCCTATCGTTATCCTTGACGAGGCGACAAGTAGCGTCGACTTCGCTACCGACGCAGCAATACAAGAAATTCTTCGCAAAGAGTTTAGGAAATCTCTGCTTATTAATGGCAAGTGCCCATTACCGCACCTTTTATCTGCTGATGATATGCTAAGTGCCTGTGGTCGCAGTCGCACATAGGCTGAGCACAGTAGTTGACTACGATCGTGTTATCGTCTTGGAAGACGGACAGGTGAATTATTTCATTCACAACCCATCATTAGTTGAATAATGGCTTCCAAGGTTGCCGAGCTCGATACGCCATTGAATTTGATGCAGAAAGACTGGTGGCGTCTTCAGGGAGATGTGTCTCAATAGCGAATCATACGCTGAGATAGAGGCCGCCATCCTGAGAGAGATGAAAGAGACCCGGGAAGCGCAGCAGTCGTGATCTTCGTTAGCTTATTTCCTACCATCACTATTCTCAGGCTAAACATTGAAGTCTTGAACAACTCAGTGCCACTCCTGCTAAATGACTGATTCGAAGGATTGTGGTTCACAAAGTTATTCCTACGGGGATGCACACTATCTTGCAACCATCGCTTCCCGCAGTAATTAAAACACATAATTCGACTACTTGATGCACGAAGCATCCCCATCAGGGAAAGTAACACTGAATGTGAGGGCCTTCGAAGCACAACTAAATGTCTTGCAACGAATGTAAAACGGCAGCAGGACATGGACCGGGGTAATGGAACAAATGTAGAGATAACGAGGGAAAACTGAAGAAGAAAAATGCGAAGACAATACAAAACTAAAATGAGACACTGTACAGGCACAGCTGGAGGAGTACGTGAGTTTCTTCACAATTTATCACAAAGAACTCCAATGGTAAGAGTGGACAGAGTGCCCTCTGCACACTTACCACGTGTCTGCGGTAACTCTAATTTCTTGTGACCTCCCGAAACCAGCTCAGAGAGAATGCAGCAAGTCGTATTTCGAAGTGCCTGCTTCTGCATCGGCCATGATCCTGATTTAGTAACGCAGGTACTCTCAGCATTGCGGTCGCCACCACATCACATCACAACACCCACCGCCGCAAGTGAGCCTGATCGTCTTTTACAGGTTCAGCAAGTGCTTCTTGGAATATCTCTATGTTTTCATGCAGGGCCTGGAAACAGCGGTGCAAAGGTATAATAAACTCCCTTCGTAACATTTGCAAGGTCACATACCCGCCCTCGCGTCTCCGCCACTTGGTAAGACACCTTTTTGTCTCTTACAATACGATCGATAACCTGATCGATATCAAGTAACGTTTATAAAGGCAGCTTGGGGTAGCTTGCCTTCTTTGGCACGTGACCCACTTCTAGAAAAATACCCAGCCAGCACAGCCATAGAATCTAAAAGACAGGAACTCTCAGCTCAGAAGAACTGACTTGATATCATTCTCGCCTTTCCCGTGATGTCTTCTGCGAGTGCTCGTTTTTCGTCCTCGTCGCTCGACGCATCGAGTTTCGCCTGGGAGGATTCTATTTGTTGTAACCCTGAACTGATACCTGTGGTGTAGCTTGAAACAGCGTCAGCAATAGACTGCTCGACTTAAATGCGGCACCTACCGGTCATAGTCAACGTTGCATGTTGCCTTGTCATGTGCCCTAACAAGCAACAATTGCAAAGTGGTGGACAAGATAGGATGAAAGTACTCACGCTGAACTACAGTGCAGGCGTGCATCGGCAGCGACGAATTCCTTAAGCACCTGTTTTCGGAAGTGTTAGCAAAAATCAGATTGGTTCGCATTACAAACTCAAACCCTAAATCCAAGAGTTTGTGATATTGATACCGCCTCTCGCTTTATTTTTTCCCTGTTGGAAGGTTCAAGATTTGGCCTCTCCCTTCGCATAACCTTTAGCATTTTCTCTACCACAGCGTCAACGCGTGGATCCTGCACTGCCTCGAAGTTATCAGCCAGATTACCGCACTTTGCCGGGGGTGTATCTTATAATAAGTCGAGTGATCAGCGCCTGGAAGAGTATAGTACGTGGATCTCACCTTTTGGCGTTGACGGTCCGCGGCTTGAATGACGTTCTAAAATCGATGTGAACTCCTCGAAAGTGATATCACCAACCTAATGTTCAATACGGGGTAAGGATGTGAGACACTCGAGAAGCCAAGGCGGTCCCACATAGCTTCGCAAATACTCAACACCGAACATATCCGAGAAAAATTTCTTAGCCTCGGCACCCGACTTGCCAGCCTGTCGATACCTCTATGATAAGCTCACCTTCCGAGAAAAAGAAAGAAAATACTCACCGTCGAGTGGTTTCCGGGAAAACGTACCGAGTTCAGTAGAGCATGGAATTGTTCACTAGATTGCGGGAGTAGCATGAGCTGCTCCATAACGGGAGGACTATTACATGCCACAAATTCACCGAATTTCTTCAAACGAATCCTTCCTCTCGTTATCGGCTGCATCTCGACGCCATACCTGGGGCTGGGCAATGCCATACAAGATGGCGGTGTTGCATAATTTTGTAGACGGGGACTCTAAAAATTAGGTTCGGAACAACAGACTATCTCAGGGAACAGAACTCACGAGTCCCAGAGGGCCTGCTCTCAGCTGGCTTATTCTTCTCAGCCCGCTCACTGCTGGAATTAGTTGTACTGTATGCTGAGCATAACACGATTGTCGTCACTAGGTATTTGTCCGCAAGGCGCGTAGATAAGGTCTTCAGGAGCTGAACAAGCTGTAGACTGTTTGGGAGTGACAAGCCGATCGGTCGGCGCAATACCAAAGCAGGGCTAGTGGATAAACCAGTGAATGTTTTTACGACGTCATCTGTCCCATTAACATCGGAGATCATTCGCTCGACTGGGCGATGAGCGGAATTCTCTGTGTCAATTCCGAGTTGATCCGGCAGAGAAGGGATATCTTCGAAGATATTACCATCACGTCTGAAGCGTTCGTTGTCGTGATCCCAATCGCCATAGTCGCCAAGCTACATCCGTCAGGCTAAACAGGACTTCGGAAGGGAAACATATATTGGTACTTACTGCGATCTTCTGGGAAATACATTCGAGAAGCTGTACTTCAACCCCATCAACAAGTAACCAGTGTCCATGGTTGTAGGCACTATCGATTTTCAAGAAACCGGACATGTAAAGACAATCTGTAGCGTTCTATAACAATGTAACCACTCAGTTCCACAACCACACAAAGGACATTTGGGAAACTGACCGCAGTGGTCCTCCATTTGAAGGGCCCATAGCAGCACCCGGTGCATTGTTCAACGTCGATAGTGACCGTGGTGTAGCCTTCTTTCCATTCGCCATAAATTATTTTTGCAGCATAAATCGACCGCGGCAGGTGGGCATGCTTGATGTAACAGTCGACCTCCGTTCTAAAAGGGGACCAGAGTAGTCGATGTGATTCATGAGGCATGTGACTAGCAGGCTTCTCACGCGCGTTCCACAGTTGTGCATGGACTTCCTTGGCATAGTCCTCCGGCTTACTGTCCCCTGCCTCGTCACACACAACATGCACCCATTGTTTGCCAAGGTAGTACCCAAGCCCAACCGCGAAGCGAGCTTTGACTCTGTTACCAGCGTAGACCACGACGATGAGATCACTCGTCAGCGACGACAGTGCAACACAGTCGTCATTGATGACAGGGGGAAAGGCGCCGCAGCGAGTAAAACCGTAGTGAGTCATTGTCCTCTCGTCAAGCATGATGTTGCAGCATTTCGGGTCCCGATGACAGGCGAGATAGAGATCGCTAAACTTTGGAGATTCCTGGGAAACATTGGTCGCACCGAAAGATCTATAGTAATTAGACTCGTGGCGTTCCAAGTCGATGGTTAGTAGAATCTGACGTTGCATGCACGCCAACGTTGCTCTATAGATGGTTGGAAAGTCGTGGTATGGAGTAAGTGGCAAGCATATTTCGATACCTCCGTTGGTGACAGTGTACTTGTGAAGTTTTTCGGCGCTAGCAGTCTTGTCAAAATGAAGTTGTTGTCTGAGAGACTTGATGAAATCATCCGGTCCTACCATCCTGACGTCATGACAATCCTTGAAGTAGCTCGGATCATCTGCCAGGACCAATCCAGACCGCCGGATTTTGCTATTAGGGTCCCAAGCGAAGATGCTTTGGTCGTTCGATACCCGGATGATTTCCAACTGTAGACGCTGAAATGCCTTACTGCCCTCCCCGTATAGCATCGGCATGTTTACCCCAAATAGCCCCAACAAGGAATATGCCCGATCCTCAGCCCGAGTCGTTTTCCGATCAGCTGCCCACGACATTACTTGGGCCACGCAAACCTGGCCCGGGGATAAGGCACCCTTCAATACATTCTCCGGGATTCGTGTAATTTTATGCAAAGTGGACGCATGGTTTTGCTTTCTGCCCAGAGGCACCCAATCCATATTGAAGAACTGAACGTCTTTAGGGGCTATCAGCTCCTGGAGTGTCCAACCGCGCGAGAACCACTCAGGCCATCCATTGGAATCTTTGTAGCTCGCAATATCCTGTTTTGTAGGAAATGTTGACTTTTTGACGTCGTGGAGGTACGCGTAACACTTCTTCGAGTTTTCGTACCACCGATACATCGAGCGGATCGCCTCGGATAGTTCCGCACTGCTGCGCCTGTCGATACAGCACGTATCAACCCACAGCAGTCTGAAGCCGTCCTTCTTAGCCTGCTTGCAGCTCTGGACAATCTTGCAGTAGCCTTGGCGCTCCGTAACTGTGATCCTCTCCTCTTGCGTCATGGTATTCAGTTTGATCATCTCATCATAGCTGACTTCCTCTCCCCAGCGATGAGAGAGAATGGCGTATTCGAAGTTTTCGTCGACGAACTCTTTCAAAACGTCGGATTGGAGCCCCCTCTCAGTGTTAAGAACGGCTTGTACGACAAGCAGCCGTATCCTACGAGTGTTCATTTCAGTACGAACCTAGAATCGGCCACGACGATAAGACGTACATTTTGCTCTCAGGGTTTCAATCTCGGGAGACTGGTCTGGTCAGCTAGCGGGAATGACGCTGCGTTTGGAAAAGTTTATCAGCTTCAATGGCGAGGGAGTTAAAGCGCAAGTAACGCAGTCCCGGTGGAGACGATGAATGTGGATGAGATATAGAAGAACGCACCTGCTGCTTTTAATGTTAAAATAGCACAAAGCTGGGAACCATGTGGCTATTAGAGCCTTTAGAGCTTGTTCGCAAAGCATTGCATCGCGTTGATACCTACCGCAAGGTGCGAGTACCCACTAAACCTCTGAGTCCGGCCCTCGCCGCGGCGTTATCGAATAACGAATTGAATTGTGGTTCCTTTTGCAAGGAACGCCTTGACCAATTTGAGCGGACCTGGACCAAACCAGGTTTGTCGAGTCCCGTCAACGAAGCTCACATTACTGATACTTAGTTCGAGAAATTGGCAGTGGCGGTGAAGGGCACCTGCCAAACTGCGGCGGGCGCACGCACGTGACCGCAGAGGCCGGGAATCCGTGACGTCACGGGCCTCAGCCACCTCGGCGCCACTGCCAGTAGGCTCGGCATGCCGTCGCGTGCCGTTGTTTGGGCGCCCTGCCCCTCGTTCCCCTCGTTTAGGTTCAGCTTATGTCAGTGTCACAGTGATCACATCTCGCGATCGAGGACTCCCGAAGCTTCCGCGGGGTCGAAAGCAGTTATGTACGGCGGTGTAGGATAGGACCACTCTCGAACGGATGTGTGAGTTAGGTAGAACAAACACATAATGGTAACCATTGCATGCGCACGCGCACGCTCAGGATATGATGGGTGGACGAATGATGCTTGCGATTAACGATGTTTGTGTTGTGCATTGCGTACATACGACTTGTAGGATATGATGGGTGGACAAACGATGCTTGCGATTAACGATGTTTGTGTTGTGCGTTGCGTACATATGTAGCCTACGACTTGTCATACGTACGCAATGCACAACACAAACATCATTAATCGCAAGCATCGTTCGTCCACCCATCATATCCCTCCTTCTGAGCATGCTTCATAAATCGTAAATCCCCTCCCGTCCTCGCCAAACCTCATCATCGAGGCTGGCACTGCAATCCTCGGTACTGGTGTTCCTGCTATGGCCATCTCTCAAGAAGTCTATGTTGTGAATGAGGAAACTGTGGTCGCAGCAGGGACATTTGTCCTCCCTGCTTACATTGCTAAGGTATGTGGTTCTGTTAATACGCTGTTACATACACTCATAATCATGTGCCTAGCTTATCAGTGGGCCCGACTGTGACTAGGTCAATGGCCACATCGAACGTGTCAAGACCACCTTGGAAAACTCGCATGCCGAACATACTCAGGCTGTAAAAGACCGCATCAACTCTGTTAAACAGGGGACGTCGTGTCGCTATCGAGCGTGTCAAGACTGCCTTGGAAAACTCGCGTGCCAAACATACTCGGGCTGTAAAAGACCACATCAACTCTGTTAAACAGATGAGGGACGTTGTGTCGCTATCGAACGTGTCAAGACCGCTTTGGAAAACTCGCGTGCCGAGCATACTCAAGGCTGTAAAAGACTGCATCTGCTCTGTCAAACAGATAAAGGATGTCATGTCGCTGACGCAGGGGCTCTTTCCCGTTTCGAAGGTCGGGGCGTGGTCTTTTAGTATTTTAGATCTAACGTGATATGATGTATATAGGAAACTGCCTGGTTGGAGGCAGAAGCGTTTATCCAGCATCAAAAGGTTGCACTGGCATCCAAGCTCAAGACCGTCCCAGACAGCTGGGTGCGCTATGAGCAATGGCTGAAGGAGAGCGAGCAGGTTGAGCTTGCAAAAACTATCATTGCAAGGATTACATCCGATCTCAGGGACGAGAAGATGCAGGAGGAGATATTGGCCAATGCCGTGGCGGAGCTTGAGTGTAAGTCGATCGCATTGCGAGTTCCTCACAGATTACCTCTGACGATGGACAATAACAGAACTCGTGAAAAGCAAAGCGATCTAGGGAGGTCATGGCTAGCTAGATTGCTGATAGAAAATGTAGCACATCAACGCCCTTTTTTTATCAGACTTATCTTGAGTATTGGTGTAGTCATCCATGAAATCAGTTTTGCCACCCCATGACCCACTCGCCACAAATCTCGCTAGAAGGGTACAATAAATAAATCTGATCGAGGTACATGCATACCGCCGAGTGTAATGAACGAGGATTTGTGATACTAGTGAAAATACATGCAAGTTTAATTAGGTTTCGCCCTTAAAGTCAACCATGGCACCTCATCCGTCGACAGTGTTGACGACCCATTCCAGAGCCAACATTTGTTTACCAAACGGCGGGTGACGCAAACCGCGAATATCTTCGTTTTCGATGATACATTGTATCACATGGGTAGGGCTAGAAGGTGGCCATCGTGGAGATGTTGAGTTGTACGCGGGGGGGACAGAGGCTACACTTGCAATAGGCAGGAGCTGTGGAGAATATTTGGTTGAGCGGAGGGGGTGACACTGGTGACGTGGGCGAGTATTTTGAAGACAGGAGTGACATTTGTGCAGGGGTTGCAGAGCCGTGAGTAATGTAACTATGCAAGCGAGATAAATTACTTACAAGCTGCAGTGAGGATAGCACGAGAAAGGGATGGTTGGCAAAGCGAATGAAAAGTTGTGCTGGGTGGATCTTGCGAAGTTAGTGACTGGTTCGCTGACGGACAAACGTGACTTACATCTAGGAGAGGCAGGACTAAAGGACGGACTAGTTAGTGAGTATCACGTAGATATCAGACTGAAGGAAAGCGGTTGCGGACTGTACTGCAGTGACATCGGTGAGAGGGAAGGTGACATAGGTGAATACCGCGGACTGGTTGTGGGTGACATTGGGGAGTATGTCAGTGATGTAGTCGCTCTGCTGCTGTTGTAGTTAGGGGACGTGGGGCTCAATGGATAGACTAGTTGGTGAATACCGCGGAGGTGTGGGACGGAGGAAGGCGATTGTGGACGTACCGTTCGAGATGTCAATGAGAAGGAAGGCGGCGACATGGATGAATAAATACCACAGGCTGGTTGGTGAATTCGATCGAGGGCGGGTGACATTTGTCGGTGATGCGGCCGCTTTGCTGCGTCGTAGTTAGCAGACAAGGGGCTAAAAGGGTGGACTAGTTGGTAAATACCGCAGAGATGTGGGACCGAAGGAGGGCGACTGTGGACTGTACCATAGTGACATCGGTGAGAGGGAAAGTGACATAGGTGAATACCGTGGGTGTCATTGGGGCGGACGGAAACAATTCTAATATTGGCAAAATGTACGTGCTCCATTAAGAGGTGCCCCAGCTAAGACGATGTAAACATGGTTTTGGCTGATGTGGAAAGCTGAAAATTATTCACCAAATGGCGGGTGACGCAAACGCAAACATCATCGTCTTTGACGATAGGGTATGTACGTGCTCCATCAAGGGATACCCTGGCTAAGATGATGTGAACACGATTTTTGGTTGGCATAGAGAGCTGAAAATTGCTGATCAAATGGCAGGTGACGCAAACGCGAACGAAACTTCGTCATTGACGATAAGGTATGTAGGTGCTCCATCAAGGAGTACCCTGGCTAAGACGATGCGGACACGGTTTTGGGCTAGCAAGGAGAGCTGGAATTTACTTACTAAACGTGGGTGACGTCGTCTTCGATGATAGGGTGGACCGTGTTCCATCGGGGAGTACCCCAGCTAAGATGACGTGGATATAGTTTTGGCTGATGCGGAAAGTCGAAAGTTGTTTACTGTGTTGCAAACGTGAATGCGAAGCAAATGTGAACGCAGACATCTTCGATGATAGGGTGCATACATGCTCCATTGGGAGCTAAGACGATGCGGACACGGTTTTGGCCAACGCGGAGAGCCGAAAGCTGTTAATCAAATGGCAGGTGGCGCGAACGCGAACATCTTCGTCTTCGACAATACAGGATACTGGCTAAGTCGGGACAGATATCATGAGGCTTAATATCGATGGAGGAAGCCGAATGGTCTCACAGTGTACGCTTGCCTTTTACACTCTGCTGCCTGAAAAATTGAACAGCTATCCATAGGATGTTGTCTTCCTCCGAGCTCTCTTGTGTATATCACATGTTAACCATAACAACCAGACTATAGTCACGAGCAAAGTTGAAGCCATCTCTACCCGTGCGTTGTAAGGGATGGATTGAAAAGTGCACGTAGCATGCCACTCACGAGCTGATACGATGCTACAAAAAGTGTGTAGTAAGCCTGACTAGCCCTCGTTCATGGGATCATCAATTCCAGCTTCGAGACACGATGTATCCTTAATGTCTGCATTCTCATCTGCAAACTCCACACAAGGCGATGGGGAAGATGGACAGACAGAGCCCAGCGCTAAGTCAGGCCTCGAGTATTCCAACACGACCGCCGCAATCTCCATGTCATAGAAAGGATCACCATCGCTCTTCTCGCCCGATGTTGCAAGGGGTTGGATTGGAACAGAGAGCTTGTATGTGGGTGAGGACAGCGACTCGTCGAAGTAGCCTGTGACTCGAAGATCACGTCGCAGTCTCTCGCCGTTGACATTGCCTGGCAGCTGGGTATGGTGGATGATGATGCGGGGTGGACGTGTTTATAATCGCAGAACTTACCTGTAGAAGTGCACGTACAGCGGCACCAGCACGAGCGTCCACCAATCTGGACTGAATGACGTCCGGTGGCCAGTCAAGGTACTGCGAACAAAATTCCACCAGGGACGTGAGATCAGGCTGGCGAGACGTCACAACGGTAATAGGAGGGCGGCCGTTGTCCGACCACGAGGTAAGAGGTAAAAGATACATTGCCAGGACAGCGGGGTCAGGGAACTCAATGCGCTCCTCCACGATGATGCGGGCAAGTTCGTAGTGTCTACATCCAAGGAACTGTCGAGGATCCGTTCTTAGCACCTCACAGACGCTGTCACGCCACTTGGAAACGAAGCTCATGAACTCGGCAAACTGGAGTGCGGCGGCGGCTCTCAAGAGACTCCTTCCAAAGCCGTATTTTTGCCAGCCGACGGGCAACGTCCACGCTGCACCACCGATTACCTGTCTACGAATCAAATGAGACTGGATGGCACCTTGGTGCTAGGGATGGCACGTACCTCAGCGTCCACACTGCTCATCAACAAAATCAGATAGAGGTCCCCCAATTCGAGACTGACGACGTTTTCTATGTCTTTGGAGGAGTAAACTAGAACGTCTTCGTACCTGGTAGAGTAAGGGGTGCCGCTGTCTCTAGAGTTGGTTGGTTGCACCAATATTTGAATGAACAACTCACCTGCGTATAATGCAGGTCGCGCCAAATAGTAGCGCATCGTTGTACGGTGTCACCACAGCCTCGATTAGTCCGTAGGATTGAAGATTTGCGAGCTCCGCGTCTGCCTCTCCTGGGGCCTGATGAGTTGTGTTAGCACCTGTTGAGATATGACATAGCATACATAGCAAGCAACTTACCATGTGCCAGTTGAAGCTGAATGCTGTCAGTAATTCTTGAAAGCGCTGCACAAGGAGGCGCGGGAAGGTCGAACCTACGACGTCTTTTCCCCTCTTGAGTTGGGGACAGTCTGGCCCATCAAAGACGAAGTAAGGGTGAAGCAACATGCGAGAGATAGCGGAAAGACGACAAAAGATAATATCCATTTCGTGCAATTGTCCTGTACCAGCTTGACGCCATGAAAACACGTTGATTAGTGAATGCATCCATGCACTGGGTGATGTGTCATCTGCGACGGACGAAATAGACCATGGATGATAGTGCTGACCTAGCATTGAATCCCACAGTAAGCAATCGAACACCTCCGTCATCGCCGGATGGGTCAAATGTTTCAGCAGCCAGCTGGCCGAGCGTGTAAGGCCGTGCTGCAGGTGCAAGGAGCTATGTATGGTCAGTATAACACACTAACAAAACGGCAGAAGAGAGGAAATACTCACAGGCCATAATTCAGAGACCCTCATGTGTGGCGGACTCCGAGGACTAGTTAGGAGGATTGTCGACAGGGGGAGAACGAGACAAAGCCAGTTGATGCAGGCATAGGCCGACGCCCAGCTGACAAATACGAGATTGGCCACCGGCCAGAGTGCCAGGACCATGGTGCGAGAATGGATGTACTCGATACGGGCAATCTATGTTTTGAAACCATCAGTGGAGGCGCTGGTGGCTGATGAAAGAGCTCACCAAGGGATGGATCAAGTCAGATCTTGGGGGTGCGCTCCAGCGAGTGAGCGTGCTTGGCCAGGGAATCGAGCTTGATAGCGCTGTGAACTGTTGGATGTAAAACGCTGAAACGCTTGCTGGCAGGTACTCACCACAAATGGCCACTGATGCGGCAACAAAGAGTGGGAGATGTTGGGGGATGACTCGAACGGGCTTTGGAGGGAAGGGAAGGCTCCTGCCAGCCTACACAGAGTGGGGAGATGCGGTAACCCAAACCTGCCCTTACCGCTTATGTCAGTGTGGTGTTGATGCCTCGAGGCGACAAGCCGGTTTGAGCAGTAAAGTACTGGAAGTAATTATAAAGTGGTGTAAAGTCACTTTACAAGGGGAAATTGGCACGCACATTCGCAACTGGGCTGGCCAGATTGGCAGATGAGCCGGTAGAAAATGCAAACGCACCGATTGGGAAAGACCCTTGAGGTCGCCGTCGAGGTCCTGTGTGCCAGGCGCTGCGACACGTAGCCATTACGGTATTATGGTAGCAGGGCAAGGGGTGTTGCACACACGACTAATACACGGACACTCAGTATGCAGCACTCAGCGCTTCAAGTCTCTTCAGCTTCAGCACCCGAAGGTGACATATGTATTGTACGACAAACACGGTGGAGCCAGCAGTCCGATTTGAACCAACTTGACGAACACGAATACACTGTACTATACAATGTATTAGACAGCTCTGAGCTCAGTATACTAGCCAAGAACAAGTTTAGCCGAAAACTATCGAGACATGTCGCCAAGTCCATCAATGAGTAATGACAGCTGTCAGCACGGCACAGTAGCACACAAAACTTCCCCCGCACCGAACTCATGAGAATGCCCGAAGGCCAAATACTAGCTGCTGATCGCAGAAGTGATCGATTATTGATATAAATTTAATGATGGAGGTCCCGCATCTGCACCCCCTCCGAATCCGAATCACACAGTTATCATACACGATGGACGGGAGGTCCAGCTGTCCAGTCTCTTAAGCGATCAGCGTCGCGCGGGGACGTCCCACTCTCCGTGCGCGGACCCTGATGATAACGTGCCTGACACGTAAGTCCCCCACCACGTGTTGCTTCCGTGTCCCGAGCGCTCCCTAGCGCACCCTAGCGCACCTCCCACGCCACGATCGACGATGCCGGTGCCGTCACGAGGCGTCAGACACTCCGAACGGCCGTCCCCGCCGCCGAGGGCGAGCCGCTGTGGCTGGGAGGCCGATCCAAAATTTGCAGGTCCCACGCACCGCCACCTGCCAATTTTCCGAGATAAACTGACATAATGCTTGAGGTATGTATGCCCTAAGTCTTCCTGTAGTTGTGCTCTATGTTGTTTCTCTGTTAGGGACAATAACAGCTATCTGGTAATAGCATGCACGTGGTGGCTATGGTATCGTTCTTTCGCCAATTTGTAGTTTCTCTGTTCAAACATTGTAACCTAACATTTTCTGCCTACGATTCCCAAAAATGAGGCTGTCGGAGAATCGGCACTAATGCGGAGAGAACGCCAATAAGCCCAGCCGTGAAACAGGCACCCAGTTTAACCAAGACAGCTTGAACTCTATGCGTGACTACCTGTATATTATCAATGCAATTCACGGATACCAATTGTGAGTGTTGCAAGGCTAGTGGTGTTGTTTAGATATCATCTTCCCAATCTTCGGGTACATCTTCTCTTGCAATCGTGGCCGGTTGCTCTCGTTGCGCTTGTGGCTGATGTGCCACATACGACGGTGGGGACAGACCGCTCGAATGAGGAGGTAGGGGCCCTGACGAAGGAGTGATCCGTGACGATGATGATGGCATCTTCCAGGCAGATGACACACGAGAGGGAGGTATATTTGCTGTCCTGGCAGCCGAAGCAGTAGCCTTGGACGAGCGCAAGTCAACTAGTTTACTTGAGGGCGCAGCCGTCGTTGCCGACTGTGAAAGGAGTGGTACGGGGATGCGCGTGTCGATACGCCGCATGAGTTGTACGCTGCGGTGCGGCTCCTGATCGACCTCGGCAGTGTCCACACGATAAACGGAGGCGAGCTACAGCACAACACGAAGCAGCGCGTCAGCATGGAATATAAAAATGCCAGGGAATAACGTTGACGTACACTCTGCACGAACTTGCGTCGTTCTGGAGGCATGTGCTGCAGCACCTGTGTGCGTCAGCTGGACTTGACAAAACTACATAATACACAAGGCAAGTTCAAACCTCGTGCAAGCATACGGAAAAGACAAGGCTTACTCTGCAAAAGTATCCTCCATGAGCCGCACGAACTTGGCGTTTGCGGTAACACATGCATAGTCCACCAACTCATCACTCCAGACGACTCTCGGGCCCGCTGCAATTTCCTCGCGTTTCTCCTTACTGATTCCAAATGCTTCTGCTAGCTTTTCATTGCGCTTCTTGACTGAACAATCTCCGCTGCATGCAAGACTTTGCTTCCTGTTTGAGCAGGGAGCCGTCGACCGCAGGTTTCCACATGGACAGGTAAGCGTGACCACGGCGAGACATGGACATGTCTCTGGGCATGCTGCAGGAGCATGACAGATTTCCGTGCAGGGATGGTATTCCGGTAGACTGCCGACGACGATTACACAATGACGGAAAGATGTAAGCATATGCTTACCTTACCGCTTACCACTTGCCACTCATGCACCATTCACGCTATCACTTCACATCGTCACATCTCCTATTCCCTCAATTGTGCCCTCATCTGGGCATGCAGATCCCTCCTGCTGTGTTGTACTGTTTGGACCCTGGGGGTATATATACTGGTGCTGCATGTATGTGCAGGTGGTCTCTTCTTTTTCCCTCTTTCCTCTCACTCACTCTGTTGAGCATCTTGTATCAGCATACATGCTTGATTGTCTAATCCCCACATGCCTGTCCATGTTCTGTTGTCATTGTGAGCCATTCTGAATGTACTCACCCCACAGTGGTGAGTTCCACTTTTTTTGAACATGCCATAGTGCATGTCAATGCCTGCTAGAGGTGTCAAACTGCTGTCCCATTGTGTTCCCTCTGTCCCCATACCCTTGACTACCCACAGTCAAGGGAATAACCCTCTGCCTGCGACATTGTTGTCATTGCCATTATCTTTGTCTTTGTCTTTGCTGTCTCTGTTGCATGCTGCCTCTACTCCCCTGCCATCTACACCACCACTCATGGCCCTGCCCAGCATTGCTCCATCTCCACCTATCTCCCCTTCACACATCCCATTACCAGTGTCCCTTCCACCATCTCTGACTTCCATGGATAGCTCATTGTCATCTGACAGCTTCACAGTGGTTCTCCCTGTCTTTGTGATGTCCTCAACACAGTCTCAGGTAGTGCAATGCAAAAATACCACTCCTGGAAAAACCCCTCCCTTCTTGACAGTGGGTGACATTACCCCAGAAGGGTTGCAAAGCTGGGAACTAGGTTGTGAGAATTACTTTTGGCTGAAAAGTGTAGCAGAGGATGTTCAGGTTGCCAAAGTTGTGGGTCACCTTCTGGATCCTCATGTGCAGGATTGGATTAGCAACAATGGCAGTCAACTGACCACCCTCTCCTTCTTGGGGTTTATGGATGAAGTTTGTATGTATTGGCTTCCCAGTGACTGGGCAGAAGCTATCCAACAGAAAATGCTCTCATCAACACAGGGTAATAAAGCCTTCCACTTGTGGGCTGTTGAGGTGGAGAGTCTGAATGTTCTGTTATGGGGTAGTGAGTTCCACCTCACTGAAGACCATCTTCACTTCCACCTAGAGTCTCACATGCACCTGGATCTCACTGCAGAATATCACTTGACTGGTGGCCACTGTGAGAAGCAGTTCTGTGCTTGGCTTGACCTGGTCCACTTGCTTGATGAGAAATGTGTTCATGATGCTGCAAAACTTGATGTGGCTCTTCATGGAAAACCTTTTCAGCCTAGCTGTTCAGCTGACACCACAGTGTTGGGTTCAAAGGCACCAGATGGTCACACCCACACTCACCCTCCTGCCCTCACCATCAGGGAATGCCAGCTCCTTCAGGACAACTTGGGCTGTTTCAAGTGCTGCTGTCTCTTTCAAAACCATACCATGTGTGATTGCCCAAATGATTTCCCTGATGCAAAAAACTACAAAGTGCTGACTGCTGCCAACATTGAGGCCACTCATAAGAAATGTGCCAAAACTATTGCTGCAATCATTGAAGAGGAGCCTGCAGCAAAGCACTCCCACATCACTGAAGTGGATGACAACACAGATGCCATTGCTGTCGTCATGCCCCCTGCTGCACTGGGGGATGGAACTGACTCAGGTGAAGAGGTATGTTGCACCTCTTTCCATTCCCCATCTCTGGTGGTCCTGCCTCCTGGAAGGACCTAATGTGACCTTCCCCCTACCTGTGAAGACACTGATTGACAGCAGTTCTCATTTAGTTCTGATTGATGAAACCCTTGTCTTGAAGCTAGGGTTACAGCACCATCAGTTGCACAAGTCCCTCAACATTGACCCCATGTAGTCCATTTAGTCACAACATATAGGTAGCCTGTGTGCCAAAATGCCAACACTTATATAGACCCTGTGATGGGCCTGTCTAAATAGATTAGCCATGACACATGGACAGGCCTGAGGGCCTATAGTGAGAGCAACATATGTATGGGCCCATAAATGCAATTCCACAACATATTGGAGGGCCTGTGGAGGGCAAGGATGCTGCAACATATAGATGGGCCCATGACCAAGTAAGTATGCTAAGCTACTGTAAGACATGGATGGGCCCACCTATTGTTATGCCAATGACTTGTATTGTGTCATGAATTGAGTGTGATGAAGCACAAGCACGTGACTGCATGAGAAGTGACACGTAATTTAACTTCACTAGTGATGGGACACTAGTCTTGGCCAACCGAAGTTGTACTGGCCAGTTCTTGTTGATACAATGCACAGAGCTAAGGGTGGTTGCAAAGTAGATTTTGAATGAGGGACTGGTATGGTACATGTGGGTTTATATACATATGTAGAGTACCATACATCAAATGTTTGAACACAGTGTTTGACTGCTCACCAGTTCCTAAAGCACAGGGTGCAAGGGCAACCCTGCTGCAGGTGGAAAGGAACAGGGTTAAACAAGGGTTTAAACATGTATGGGAGAAAGGGATCAGCTGTGCAAGAGTCATAAGTGGAGCATTCACCCAGGGTGAATGCAATCATGTGACCACATGGATCAGGGCCACCAGTGGATCACAGAAGGAAGGGGAATGGGCATAATGCCCAGTTATAGTACAATGTGGGGTAGACAGGGGTCTACCACAAAAGGGAACAGGGAAGGGAAAATGTACGGAATGCAAGTCCAACTGCATAGATGGCAGCTTGTGGGCAAAGGGAATGTCCTGAAGGATGAGACGAAGCATGAACAGGTTACATAAATGTCTGCAAGAGGAAATAATGTGAGCACAGCGTAACATCACCCCCCTCTCAAGGCCTGAGGTCCTCTGAAGGTGAGTAGAGGCCTTGAACTACCCAAGAGTGGATCTCCGAGTTAGTTGCCACCGTGAGTTGGGCAGTCAGACAACCAATGTCCAAGGTGTGAACATTGGTAGCAGGCAAACTGGTGAAGGGGACTGCTGCGAGGGCATCTGCGATGGCCTGGAAGTGCTCTCGACCTTGGCCTGGTATAACCTTCTCCCAGCAATTGCAACACCTCAGTTTGACATTTCTTTCAACCTCTCCACCTCTTCTGGCCTCAGCTCCGGTCCTTTCTTCTGAGACCTTGCATGTCTGTCCTCGGAGAGGGTCCTCAGGTAGGCTCTGTCCTCCAGGTGCTGCTTGACCCATTGGAGGGAGGAGCCCATGGACCATGATGTTGAGGGGGGTCCAGTTGAGGAAGGAGCAAAAGGAAGAGATGAGTGAGGGGCCATAGTCTTTGTGGACAATCTTGACGATGGCCTCCTGGGTTTTGAGGGCCTCTTGGAGGATGGAGGAGTTGGTTCTGTTGACATCTTCATACATATGCACTTCGAAACTTCTTTCTGCAACTCCGACCTGGTCATGTACCTGCTTGCCAATCACTTCTGAGCTTCTGAAGATTTTAGACAGCACCCATAGATGCTTGTGGCATTCTCCTGCTCTCCAGTCATGTGATTCCCAGCACTCGAAGTCATTAAGCAGCTGCACGTAACTGAGGAAGACACTTGCCTCAGGAGCCACCCATCCAGTTGTAGAGGGGGCAGCGGGAGAGACCGCTGGGGCCGAGAGGTCAGCTGGTGCAACAGATGGTGCTGGAGTGGATGCACCGGGGCGAGGGAGTGGTGAGGGGGATCTGTAACTGGCTTGGGAGAGTGGAGGGGTGTTGCAGGACCTAAAAGAGGCGTCATAGTGAGGCTTGGATGGTCCCAAGTGAGCTTTGGACTTTCCCTTGCAGGCATCCTTGCAAGCTCTCTGTGAAGAGGGGACCAAGTGGATGACTGGGTATGGGTATGGGTGCGAGGCAGAGGCAATGGAGTCATGAAGGGGTTGGTAGGCCCCTGCATGTGAGGAGTGGGTGGATATTGTGGGGGATGGGGAGTGTAGTGCTCCATGGGGGCGTACTGGTGGTTCTGAGAGGCATGGAGGGGTACTGGCATAGCAATAGAAGTGTGGGCAGGTGGGGTCATAGGGCTCATCGACGTCAGCATGGAAGTCATTGTCAAAGTAGTCAGAGCTGGGGTTTTCCATGTTGGGGGTTTAGGACATATTGTGTTCAGAGGTTGTGAATGTGCTTGTACTCCCTGAGAACCTCTGGGGCATTTATAAGGTTATCCTTGCTCTCCCAGCTGTTTTGGGAGTGTGGGTAACCAAGCCACTTGACCAGGTAGAGGTATTTTTGCTGCAGGGTTACACCAGGCTCTTTGGATGATGACTTGACCTTGCATGCATGTTTGTGTCTAAGTATAGCTTTGACTTCCCATTTGTTCTTGTCCCCTACCAACTCTGGTGGAGGTGGGGGTTGTGCCAGACCATACTCATGCATTTCGATGAAAGGGGTGAGTTTGGACGTGTGGAACATGGGGTGTACTTGCCAGCTAGGGGGTAGCTGAAGCTTGTAGGTGACTGGGCTGATCCGTTTGGAAATTACAAATGGGCCATGGTGTCGGGGCACAAGCTTTCTTGACAGAACGTCTCTTTTCAGGTCAGAAGCATCTAGCCAAACCCTATCTCCTATGGAGAACTCCATATAGGTTCCTTTTGACTGCTGTTTCATCAATTCCTGTGCTTCTTTATGACCAATAATCGTGGCATCCCAATTGGCGGCCAATTGCTTGAGTCAATCACCTGCCAGCAACTCCT